GACCTCAGCCAGAGAAATTTGGGACGCTCTGAGAGAGGCTCACTTAAGGACAGAAGCTGGATCCACTATGTTTTATTTTAACAAGCTGCATAATATGGCTCTTGCTGAAGGTGGAGATGTACGTTTACATCTGATGGAGATGCAAAATCTGAGACATGAGCTGCAACAGAGAGGACTCAACTTTCCAGAGGCTGTGTATTCTTTCATGATACTACAATCTTTGGGTTCAGGTTGGGAGTCTGTTGCAACCCAGATTGCTGTGCAACCAACTGCTCAGCTGACAGTGGACTTTGTTACTGCCGTGATTTTAAATGAAGCAGATCGCCGGGGTGCTAGCTGCATGGGCAAGGGAGTCTTCACAGACGTCATCCCATAGTGCAGTGGAACCACCAGATGGCGCCAAAGCTTTGAAGGCAGTGAAATGCTACTCGCGTGGACGTCTAGGCCATATGAAGAGGGAATGCAGACATCCCAGGGCCAAGACAGAGCAGCGCAGCGAAAGCTCATCGCGCGGAAAAGGCCGAGGCAAAGGCAAAGGTCCGGTGTCTAGGACAACGCAGCACAAGGCTATGGTTTCACGCTTCACTCCAAAGGTTGCAGAGGTCCAGAAGACGTCTAGATCTTTCTTCATTGTTGATTCAGCGGCCACCCACCACATGTGCAACGATAAGAAACTGTTTGTGTCTTTTACACCGCAGGAAGGTGCGATTCACCAGGCGGATGACCACACTATTCCCAGTAAAGGCTACGGAACTGTTGTTCTTCACAGTTTGGACTTATCGATACAGAATGTGCTTTACGTGCCAGACGCCAAACATAATCTGCTCAGCGTTGGACAGCTGAATGAGCGGAACATTGACGTTTCCTTCAAGAACAAGAAGTGCATCATCACAAAGAAAAATGATTATGTATTGCATGCAGAATATGTTGATCATTTGTTTGTTTTGTATTATGATGATGTGGTGCAGAATGACACTTGTTGCATTGCAGGTTCTAACAAAAGTTTACATGCAGAATGTATTCACGATTTTCATCGCAAATTTGGTCATTTGCATTTTGAGGCAGTATCTAAAATGCCTGCCTTGGTTGAAGGTATGACTATTAAACCCTGCAGGTACCACATGAAGTGCAAAGCATGCGCAGCAAACAAGGTGAAAATGGCTGCGAAAGGTAAGGTGTCTAGTAGGAAGCTACAGAACCATACCAGGTTGTTCATGCTGATTTGGTTGGACCACTAGCGCCCTCTTTGGGTGAAAATAGATACTTCATGGTTCTCATTGATGCATTTTCTAGATATATTTTTGTGTACAATCTCAAGCAGAAATCAGAGGCTTTTCCTAGGTTCAAGGAATTCTGTGCTTGGTTGGAAAATGTGCATGGTAAGAAGATAAAGACTCTTTTCAGTGATCGCGGGGGGGAATTCACTTCTCAGCAGTTTGAAGCTTTTCTGACTGAGAAAGGAATTCAACACGATTTGTCTAGTCCTCGCTCGCCATGGCAGAATGGACTTGCGGAACGGGCAAATCAGACACTGCTTCAAGGGTTAAAAACCTTGCTGCATGATGCCAATCTTCCAGAGAGTTATTGGGCCGAATCTCTCTCGTGTTTTGTTTACAGTTACAATCGCAGGTTATCTTCAGCGATTGGTTGTACCCCCTATGAGAAGATGTTTGGCAAGAAGCCATACATCAAACACATGAAGATTTTTGGTTCTGACATGTGGGTTCGCTCACCACAAAACTCCAAGTTAGACAAGCGTGGATTGCATGGTATCTTTCTAGGTTATCAGAAAGGGTCTTACAGAATAATGATGACTGACTCTAAGACAATTAAGCTCACGAGAAGTGTTGAGTACAATGCAAAGTGGGGGAGAATGTGGGAATTTTCCAATGTTATCCTGATGACGGTGATGAGACTGAGGATAGTCAAAAGCAACCACAACAGCCCACACCCACTGATGAAGGTTCTGAGTCTGAATCTGAAATTGAATCGGGTGATTCAGAGGATTTCAAGAGTGCGAAAGCCTCTATGCGACCCTCTGAAAGCTCTGATCAAGAATTGGAGGAACCATTGTTCACAATAGGTCGTTTTTCTCCTAAGAAGGAAGAGGAGAGTGTTGAAGACTTAAGGCTAATTCGTAGGTCACAGAGAGCCACAAATGGCAAACCTCCAAAGAGATTTGCTGATGAGTTTGCTAAGATAGCAGTAACAGCTGTGAAAAGCTCCAAGAAGGTATTTGAACCTTCAAGTTTCCAAGAAATCCAGGGTTTGGATTCGAAGGAAGCTGAGCCATGGTTAAATGCCATGAAGGCTGAGCTTGATTCCTTAGAAAGGAACAAAACATGGGAGCTAGTTCCAGTAGTTCCAGGAATGAAACTGCTTGGAAGCAAATGGGTCTTCAAAGCGAAGACAGATCAAAATGGCAAGATAGTCAGACACAAAGCCAGATTGGTAGCCAGAGGTTTTGCACAGGTACCAGGTGAAGACTATCACGAGACCTATTCACCCACAGTGAGATATGAAAGCATTAGGCTTATGCTTAAGCTAGCTGCAGAGGAAAATCTACACATTAGTCACCATGATATTAATACAGCTTTTCTGTACGGATCTCTAGATGAATCACTTTATATGCTTCCACCTGATGGCGTACAGGTAAAACAGGGATTTGTTTGTGCTCTGAAGAAATCCCTTTATGGTCTCAAACAAAGTGCACGGTGTTGGCACACAAACGTCTCTGTAGTATTGTTTTCTTTAGTTTTTCAGCAATGGAATTCTGATCCATTTGTATTTGTCACAGAGGATGGGCTTAAGAAACTGTTCTGTTTGTTTTATGATGATTTTTTATTATTCTTTTTGATAGATGTTGGTATGTACAATAACGCCTAGCTCAACTGAAAGAGCACTTTGACATGAAAGATCTTGGTGAGGTAAACAACTACCTATCTCTGGAAATAGAGAGAGATCAAGATGGTAACATTCTAGTACACCAGTCACGGAAAATTGCTGATGTGTTAAGCAAACTAAATCTGATGGATGCTAACCCTGTAGACACACCGATGACAACAGGTTATCAGGTAGATGACACTGAAGAAGCATTTTCTGACACTACACTGTACAGGAGTGTGCTAGGCAAGCTAAACTTCATTGCCAGATGTTCAAGACCAGACATTGCTGTTAGCTGTAATTTGCTAAGCAGACAAGTCAACAATCCTAGTGTCAAGGATTGGAAAGCTCTGAAACGCATAGCGCGGTATTTGAAAGGCACTATGCATTACAGACTGAGATTTAACAATCAGAAGTCTGGTGGTCTTGAGATATTTGCAGATGCAAGTTTTGGAAGTGACACTACAGACAGGAAAAGTACGTCTGGAGTTTGCTACATGTACAATCAGAGTCTGTTTGATTGGTCATGCAAGAAGCAAACAACAGTTAGCTTAAGTACTTGTGAAGCCGAACTGAATGCACTGTCTTATTCACTTAAGGATTGTGAATGGTTAGTACAATTGTGCAAAGATATGAAAATTCCTGTCAAATGTCCAATCCAGGTTTACCAGGACAACAAAGCATGTTTGGCTTTGCTGAAGTCTGAAGGTTGTAAGCAAAGCACAAAGCACTTGCAATTAAAGTTGCAGCATGCTAGGGAATGTATTCAGAAGGGACTCGTAACAGTGTCCTATATGCCAGGTAATGAAATTCCTGCTGATGTATTGTCCAAGATTATATCAAGGGATCAACACTGTACCTATGTGCAGAAGTTGGGTTTGTACTGATACTGTACGAACACGCTGCCCAGTGATGTTCACAGAAAGGGGGGAGGATGTTGGTTTCTGCTTTCCTTCACTGTGCAGCAACTGCTGTCATGAGACAGGTGTTTACATTCCACAGTCTGTACTGTTGGAGTTTCTCACGGGAAAGGGAGACTGGATGTGACGTACACTGGTTTCCTGTTTTTCACTGTGTGTTTCTCTCCAAGCTGTCGAGGAGAGAGGATGCATTTTTCTGCTCCGGCAGAGACAAGATGTCTTTCTGTAATATACCAGCTTTGAACTGTAAATAAAGCAATTTAGAGTATGTAGCACGTATTCCTCATCCTTCCGCTGGGCACGACAGACTCTGCTTTAAATCAACAAAGACTTGGGGGGAATTTATTGTTTGAAGTCGTTTCAGCATTTCCTTATGCCAGGAACAGCCAAAATGGTTGAACAAAGAAGGTGTTGGACTCCTGAGGATCATAGAATCGTCGTAGAGTTGGAAGGGCTCATGAGGGTCATCTAGTCCAACCCCCTGCAATGCAGGAATCTTTTGCCCAATGGGGGGCTTGAACCTATGACCCTGAGATCACATGGACAGGGCTATCACTAAGGATGTTCCTTTTTCACAGAATACATCTGGTGCCGTGCAAACTGTATTGCTTCTCCTTTTTCTATAAGGCATATTAATCCACATGATGTGGGTAATTAATGGGAGGGGCAGCCCACCATGCAGAAACGTCCACCCCAGAAAGAGGAGATGAATGTATGTATGCCATCAATATGTGTCATTATTGTAGTGTTGGTGGCAGTGATGTGCAAAATACCAGCTTAGTAATTACGATTTTTATTCGAGAATGTTTGGGGGGGAAAGCTTGCTTTTCCCAAAAGCCCTCTTTTGGATCATAATGGTAGGAACACGATGGTGGTGGTGTATGCATGCACCTTACTGTATTGGCTCCTGGGAACTATAGTATTCAGCCATGGAGTCTCTCAAACATGTGGGAATGTTCGGGGAGGCAAGAGAGGATATATTGTTTAATGATATCCTTTCCAACTTGCGTTACATTCTATAATTTAGCAGAGTAACATTCCCCTTTTAAACTTACACAGTGGATAGGTTTGCCAGGCTTGCTTAATCCTCTAAAATAAGTTTCCTGGTAATTCCCCTTTATTCCCTCCTAAAAGGAATAGACACGACCAGTCTTGTATAAAAGGTATAAAATAGTTTACTCACACATTCTGTTCACAGATGGATCCCAGAAGGCAGACTTAAGTTACAAAATATATACACTTGGAATCAATCCCATAAGGAGATGTAGTTCCTTTGTCCTCTCTGAAGCCAAAAGAGCATCTCGGGCTGATGCTTCTTCGATGAAAGCAAAATGGAGAAGAGAGAGATGTGGTGGCCAGTCCTCTGCTTTTGTTACCTGCACAGGTAAGGTCACACCCACCTCTGGTCACATGTAGAGGAAGTTTGTCCCAGCACAGGAGGAAACAGGAAGTTTATCTACTGGCTGGACAAACATCCCTCTTCATGTCTAAACATGTCCACTCTAGGAATGTTGTATTTGACTGCTCTGTGTTTCACACCCCACAAAACAAACCCACTTCCCACAATTCAGGGGCTGTGTAACTATCAAGAGGATCCCCTCTGCTGATCTGATTTACACAAGAGTGCGTCTATAGGGAAGGAGGAAGCCCTTCAGATATTTGAGTTCTAAGTCATTTAGGGTTTTAATGTGAGTACCTTAAATCAGATCCAGAAATGAACTGGCGACCAGTGAAAAATATAGCAAAAAAATTACGTGCACATTGAAATCCAAAAGGACAGATCCTGAGAAATTTTTTGGACCAAGCTCCTTTTAGCTCCCACAAACTTCAATGCCCAGGATTCTTTGTGGGGGAAGCCCTGACAGCGAAACTATTACCAGTGTTTCCATCAGAGTGGGATTTTGGGGCCAGACATACAGGTCCCAAAATAAGCAGCCATGCCCCAAAACTGAGAAAGGTCAGCTTGCCGCACTTCAAAGTAAGTGAATTAATGCACATTCTCATCTAAAGAAGTGAGGGACATAAGACCATAAGTCCAGAGTCTAAAGTTACCATTTGACTGGTACCCAACTCCTAGGTGTTTGTTGTGGAGATACAGCCTTAGTTTTCTTGCCAAACTCTATTGCACCTCCACCCATGTGTGTATGCATTTTATATCCAAATCCACCCCCTCTCCTCTTTCTACTTCACACATTTGATGGAGTCGGCACTTCTGTGAAATCAATTAGATTTTTTAGAAGCTGCACAGTCTTTGTTTTTTCCCTGTGTAGCTGAGCTGCTCTTCCGAAATCTGCCTGCTAAGAGTTGTCCACAAAACTCTCATTTCCTGAACCTAGAAACTGCAGAAAGGTCAATTATTTTTCAGACACATCATCTCTTTAATCCTTTTTAGCACCTCGTAAGTAACCGTCATGCCCTGGAGATAATAGCAGAATTTGCAGGAACAAATTAGCAAGCAAGGGGGCTTAAAAACAGAGCTTTTGTAAGCTGTTTAATTGGGGACATTATGATTCTTTTTGAAGTTGCTGACCCACAAATTAAAATAAGCTTGCTGCAGTTCCTTATGGGGGTTTCAAGCATATGCTGCTTTCTGATTTATTGCTCAAGATTTGCCTTCTGCTTTTTCAAAGGAAAGAGACGGGCAGTGTGCACAGGTAATGGTGTGTAGCTGATGTAGCTGTGAGCTCATCTCGGCCAAGAATCTACCAGGTAGATTTTGGCAAGCCATCAGCTCTTAGCAAGTCTCCCCTCCATCTGAAATTTGTGAATAATGATCCTGACTTCGCTTACACTGATGTTGTAAAGATGACTGAAGAGCAAAATCTGGTATGGATTTGTATTCAATGGCGTATTGATTACCAGGGAAGTCTCACAACCCCCTCAGTTTCACAGTCACATTCACACAACTTAGAATGGCTATGTGGGGGTTTGGGGTAGTTTGGGGGGGCATTGAGGATATCAGAGTGACACCCCCCAGCATTTCTCCAATTCCCATTCAGCTGGTGACCACCATTTTGTTTTGCCCAGAATGCCCTGCGATGATGCAATAGCATGATGTAGCTTTGTGCTGAGGGGCATTCTGGGAGACAAAATGGCGCACACAGACTCTACTGACAGCTACCACGCTAATGCAGAAATGCAAAAAAGGAAGGAAGGAAGCTTCACCCTGTCTCACTCACCCCCTCTTTTTGTTTCCCCACAGCTTTCATTTGATAGCTTTCATCCCAACTCTGAATAATGTTCGCCTTTTCATAACAGCCAGTTCCTCCCTGCAGACAACAAATCAAACCACAAGTCCAGCAGAAGCAAAGGTTTGCAGTTGGATTTCCCCTTCAAACACTTCAACTTTCCTTAGACTGGAGGAGGAGGGATTGCATCTGACAGCAGCCAGGGGTTTATCTATATTTGCAGAACTCTGTATAACCAGCTTGGTCTGCTATAGCTAGGTGTATATGTCCCAGTTTGTTGTGTATGCCTTCTCCTTTTCCCCTTTGATACTTCTGGTTTATTTCATGTTTAATTTACTCCAAATGAGCTTTGGATTTCCTTGGAGAATCATCTACACAGAAAAGCTTTTGCGTGTTTCTCAGAGCCAACCCAGATGCTTCAGCTTTGCAGATATGCCACTTCTCATCAGCCTACAAACAGAAGGCATTAAAAGTTTCGCATCTCCACCCTGAGCTGTCTCAAACGGTGGTTCATGTCACAGTGAATGGAACTAATTTGCCTGCTATCCTGCAGTCCTCAATCAAGCAGAATTCAACCTGAGTGAGCCCTTGCAAGGGTCAGATGACAGCTGCAAAACCTAGGTCTGCTTTCCTGGCAGTGAGCCCCATTTAACACAGGAGGCTTGTTCACAAGTCCACATGTGCTAGCATCCGTTTGAAAAGAGTGTACACCCACTGATTCATACAGTCTGCGGGTACAAAGAATACATGCCGATTAAATGCTACCTGTGAATAACTGTATGAGTGTACAGCTTGATTATTTGTGCACACAGGTGCACTGATTGCACACTCATTGAATGTATGGTGTGAAACCCTTTGTGGGACTTGCTTATGAGTAAACAGGGATAGGGGTACACTGAACAAGCAGTGGCTGTGATTTGTAGTGCACCCATCTTTCCAATGGGTGGAGTCACCCTTCACCTAACAGTAGGAAAGGGAGGCTCATGTTAGCAAATGACACTCATGGCTCCCCTAAACAGGGGCTATGGAACCTTTTGTCCTATAGAAGTTGATGGACTACAAATCTCATGGTCCTTGACCCTTAGACCTGCTGGCTGGGTCTGATGGGAACTGGAGTCCAGCGATATCTAGTTTCTGCAGCCCTGCTCTAAACCACCAGATGCTGGCATAATGCTCTACAAGAGAACAGGGAGATTTCTGAATTTTAGGCCGTTCCCAAAAGATTTGCAAAAGGGCAGGTCTGGTTGCACAAAACGCTCATCTGTGCTACAGCTGTAATGCAATCCTTGTGGGAATGTTCAGGGTGGCAGGAGAGGATATATTGTTTATTAATATCCTTCCTAACTTGCGCTAGCAAGTTCCTATACTTAGCCGGGTTTACATTCCCCTTCTCTCACACAGCAGAAATCTAGTTGCAGGCTCGTTGGTGTTAGGAGCGTCCTACTCTTGTGTAGGACCTTGGCAGAGACACATGCCCCACTGGCATGTTCTCTCCCTCCTGGTCGATTGTTCGGGAGCTTCAAAAGTTTTCTTCTGCCCGAACATCACAGCGACCAATGCCAAAAGGCATTAGCACACTTAGGGATCTGCAGAGTATTCGCAGTTTGCATAACAGAACCAATAGCACAGCATTTTGGCTAATCTACTTTATTTACATATAATACACTCGGAGCATTCTGACTTAGCTCCTGCCATTTTCTCATCAGACAGCAAAGAGAAAGAACAAAGGACAATAGTCCCACTTCACGGAACACAGTAACACAAAACATCCTGTCTCCGTCACTTCCCACACTGTGGAATGAAAACATACACCATCATGTGATTTCTATCATGTGATAGAAAATAATCCCATGACTGCAGATCCCATGACTGCAGATAAGGGGAATGAATCTCCAACAGTTAGAACCTCTTACTATTATGCAATTCAAACTCCTTCAGATTGCATTGTATGTTCCTGGTAAGATCCCCTTTTAAATCCCTCCTAAAAGAATAAAGACACCACAGTCTTATTCATTAGCAATAAAAATAAAGTTTACTCATGATCAGGCAGAGCACAGTGTGATCGCTGAAGGCAGGCAAGGAAGGATGCTCCAGGCCAGGAGGAACAGGAAGTTTCGACTGGCTGGACCAAACATACCCTTGCATGTCCACTCTAGCAAAACAAGGAATGTTGTATTTGACTGTTCCCAGTGGATTACATCCCACAATCCTTGCCTTTGCAATTTTTAAATGTGCGTTGAGTGAGCCAGCCAGCAGTAAATCATACGGAGTAAGTGGAGTTAACTCTTTATTAGAAAAAACAGGATCTGCACAGGTGTGTCAGGCCTAAGGAGCACAGCAACTCTTCTTCTGTAGGTCTTGCCTCTATGAAGAAATGGCAGAGGCTGAAGGTCCCCACCTCCCCTCAGCTGTCTAAGTCTCCTCCTCTTCAGAGTTCTCCCCAAGCGATCTGAGACTGCACCTGCGTGCCTATCTTTCTTCCTCCCACTTCATGCCTCTCCTGGTTCTGGGAGACCAGGGAAGAGGGGAGCTTGTTGCAGTAAGAGAGGGAGACACCCATGATCCTTCACCAGCCTGACTCATCTCTGCCTCTTGGTCCCCTCCTCTCCTACTTCAGTTTCTGATTCTGATTCTGAACTGCTCTCTGGCACAGACTCCCTCCGTTCACTAAGCCCTGTTACCTATTCAGCTTCCAATACTTCCTCCTCCTAGTCTTCTGCCTCTTCTCCCTATGACCACTCATTGTTGTCCTACTGCCAGTGCCCTGGCTCTACTGACTGAGCTGTATAACTACAACAATTGTATATTTTCTCTTTTCTTGCCCTTAATTTGTTATTCCATTTCTACTGTTTCTCTTGTGCCTATTTTTAATGGTGATGATGATTATGAAAAACAGTAATAGCATGAGTAAGAAGTAAGTTTATTGCAATTATCCCTCCATTAGCTTAGAGGTGTGATTGATGTGTTTTCACGCAAAGGGCACAAAGCCACCCACATGTTATTTTCGACACCCTCAAGAGTAATCAATTAGGATTAAATAAACCATTCTAACACCAAGCTGAACAGTTTTATTTTTATTGAGAGCATCCTCCTGGGTTGAACTCTTCCAGCTGCAGCAAACTGAAACAGATTGAATAGTCCTAGCTGCGAGCTGATTCTATCAGTCGTCTTACTTGGCAAATCAGTATGGAAAGGAGAATGGGGAAATTGCTCCTGCCTCAGTGTGACAGTATAGCCTGCCACTAGCATTACAAACTGGCCCAGGGCACTGTGTTTACACAACAGCCTGGTGCTGTGGTGATATGTGGTTTTAGGCACAACAGGGTGGGTATTTTGCGTAGAGATGGTATACTGGGCGTGACAAAAATCATGCATGCCATGTCCAGAAATTCAGCCCTATATATTCTCCTATATCCTGGCTGATTCACCATGTGCCATTAAAATGATGAAAAGAATCATTGTTGTGGTTAGCATTCCCCCCACTCTTCAACCAAAAATCGGTCCCAAGGTGACTTATAAATATCAGTGAGAAGACAGTTCCCACCCTCAGGCTAACAATATGAGAGACACAACACAAAAGGAAAAGAGACTGGGAAGGGAGGAGGAAAAAAGTAAGCTGGGACACGAATTCTTTTTCTTCCTTTCTCTTTAAAGCTCACAGACAGCCTTTTCTTTCTTGCATAAAACAGTCATGAATGGCAGGGTTTCATCATCACTTGTTTTTCATTCTCTCATCTTACTCTTACTCCTATATAAGTGATTAAGTAAACCAGGACCAGTGCTTTATTTCCTTTTTTCTTCTTATTTACTTCCTAAAAGTACCTGTTATTTAAAAGCAAAAATAAAATTCAAATACATATATATTTATGTATAAATGTTCTTGTTAACTTTATATTTTCCCTCCGCCATTATCTTCCGTCCCCCTCTCTATCTCTATTTCATTCTCCTTCCTTCTCTAATATTCAGTTACAGAGAACTGCTAGTGAGCAGCAGAAACAGAACCTTTTTTTGGAGAGGAAACAAAAGTTGCTGCTCTTTCAGCAGAGCTCATGGAGTCCCACTTCTCCCCCTGGGGCCCTTTTTATTATGGATATATGATTATTTCTGCTCACGATGCTAACGGGGCAGTTATATGCAGTCCTGCTTTTTGTTCTGTTTGCAAAAGCACTGGGTCAATAAACTGCTTCATTTCCAATGAGTGCACATCCTGTAACTTGCCTGTTGAAATCTCGTAACCTTTTAGGCTGCAAATGTTCTGGTTTATTTCTGTCCCCCTTTTGTTGCATTATTGCCCCTCCAGACAGCAATAATGTGGTTGCATTGGGGAAGCATCGCAGGACACACCAAAGTAGAAGTAATCCACCACTAAGGGCTGTCACCTGGAAGGAGCAAGCTTGTTTTCTCCTGCTCCGGAGGGTAGGACCCAAACCAATGACTTCAAGTTACAAGGAAGGAGATTCCGACTCAACACCTGGAATAACTTTCTGACAGTAAGAGCTGTTCGATAGTGGAACAGTCACCCTCGGGAGGTGGTGGATTCTCCTTCCTTGGAGGTTTATAAGCAGAGGTGGGAAGGCCATCTGTCATGGATGCTTGAGTTGAGATTTCTGCATTGCAGGGTGTTGGACTAGATCAGGGGTCAGCAAACTTTTTCAGCAGGGGACTGGTCCACTGTCCCTCAGACCTTGGGGCGGGCAGACTATATTTTGGGGGAGGAAAAAAAGAACAAATTCCTATGCCCCACAAATAACCCAGAGATGCATTTTAAATAAAAGCACACATTCTACTCATGTAAAAACAGGCTGGTTCCCGGACCGTCCGCGGGCTGGATTTAGAAGGTGATTGGGCCAGATCCAGCCCCCGGGCCTTAGTTTGCCTACCCATGGACTAGATAACCCTTGGCTATTCCTTACAATTCTACAATTCTATGATTCTACTGCACTGCTATTTTTTTAAAAAAATATTTTTATTAAAGTTTTCTTGGTTTACAAAGGTATGCTCAATGTCTCTTTTTTCAAGTCACATTTTCCATAAGTCAGTTTCATTTGTTGAGACATTAGGGTTACATGAGGAAGAAAAAGGGGGGAGGGGGAGGGGGCCATGGTGAGTACTCACCTACTCTCAGCAACCAGAAACATCATAGCCAGACACTGGAGAGACCTGTCAGGAGTAAGCAGGGACCAATGGTAGCAAATAGTATGGGAAACAGCCCTACTAGAAAAATTAACTGATAAACTGAAACTGACACGGGGACAAATAGAAGATACCTTCACCCCAGTTTGGCTCCTCTTTATCACATACACAGTCCAACAAGACAACGACAAGAATCCACCAACAGCATATGACTCAATATGGCTAACCTGATTCAAAAACACCCACCCACCCCACTCACACACAAAAACTGCACTGCTATTGTGTCAAGATCACATTCCAGAATATACTTTCAAGAAAACACCAGTCTGGAGGTGAGGTGGGCCCTCACTCACAGCTTGATGGAATGGCTCGATCATAGGGCTTGATGTTGTTATATGACGGTCGTGACTAACATTGTCTGCCTGAAGCCTGAAGCCTGAAGGCTGAAGCCAACTTTAAGTCAAGGAGGAAAAGTACCACTGGAATTAATGAGAGCTTGTCGCCTTTCAGCTTGTTCATAAACAGTCCGGAGTTAGAGGTCAGCATCAACATTGTAGATGACACTGAATTATTCAGGTTGGTAAAAACAAGGATTGCAAGGCGCTCCAAAATGATCTCTCCAAATTGGGTGAATAAACAGTAAAACGGCAAGTGCAAATCAATGTAAACAAGTGTAAATTGGTACATGCTGGGTTAAAAAAACAACTATCCTAACTTCACAAATATGCTTATGGAGTTTGAAGTGGCAATGGAGGACTAGGAAATAGATCTCGAGGCTTGGTGTCATAGGCAGCTCAGTGAAAATGCTGACTCAGTGTGCTGCAGTTGTGGAGAAGGCAAATTCCATGTGGGGAATCATCATCAAAGGGTCTGAAAATAAAACAGCCTTTGCCCCAACACCATTATGCCAATCTGTGGTGTGACCACACCTGGAATACCAAGTGCAGTTCTGGTTGCTGCAACAGCTAAAAAACGCATTGTTTTGATCTTTTTGGTGTGGAAGGAAGATGAATAAGTGAGGAGGGACATGATAAAGTTTTATAGCTGGCATGGACAAAGTGCCTAGATTTCTTTTTAATTGTTCTTCCATCGCATTAGAACCCAGGTTCATTTAATGAAGTTTGGAGATTCAGAACAGGCAGGGAATAGTTAAACTGTGGAGTTTGCTGCCACAAGATGTGGCTATTGCCGGTTTAGATGGGTTTAAAATGGGATAAAACCAATTCCTAAAGGTTAAGGCTACCAGTAGCTACTAGTCATGATGACTGCATGCTGCTGCCTCCAGAATCAGACCCAGCATGCCCCTAAATATCAGTTTCTAGCAAACAGGCCTGGGAGAGGGTGCTGTGCTCACATCCTGCTGGTGGGCATCTCAGGATACCGGACTAGATGGGTCTTTGGTCTGATCCACCAAGGCTCTTCTTGTCTTCATTTTTCTCCTTTGGACACTAATGGTTCCTGTTAGAACATTGAAAAAGCAGCAGAGAAGCAAAGGAGGATAATAAATGTTGAACTGCAAATAACTTGCCTCTGGTATGCCTTTCCTGGTGCACCATCATTCAGTCTAAAATTCATGAGCTACCCTGGATTCACAATCACTGCCCATGAATTAAACTGGCAGGCAATCTAACACTTTGAAAACATTTTAAATAATGGAGGTTCATGAAGAATGGGGGACCGAGCAATCTGGGTTTGTTGATGAAACTGTTGCTGAAGAAACTTATGTGGAGGCCTCAAGATATACTTCCACTGTCTAGCAAGAATGAAACACAACATATAGCTCCGTGGTGACATCTTCGATGCAGTCATTGAAAATATTCAGAAGAGAAGTGAATGGAATGTTTGCAGGAAGCAGGAAGTTGGGTTATTTATGGGGTGCTGACAGTTGGACCTTAACTCCGGCATTCAGACTCCATGCAGATGTTACCTGAACAGGTGTCCAGGTAATAAGTATTCAGGTGTTACCTGACTGATCCCTTAAGGTTACATATAAAAAGGTAAAGGTAAAGGACCCCTGACAGTTAAGTCCAGTTGTGAACGACTCTGGGGTTGCGGCGCTCATCTCGCTTTACTGGCCAAGGGAGCTGACGTTTGCCCACAGACAGTTTTTCTGGGTCATGTGGCCAGCATGACTAAGCCGCTTCTGGCGAAACCAGAGCAGCGCATGGAAACACCATTTACCTTCCTGCCGGAGCAGTACCTATTTGTCTACTTGCACTTTGAGCTCACCCCATTGCAGGGATTCAAACCACTGACCTTCCAATCAGCAAGCCCAAGACTCAGTGGTTTAGACCACAGCGCCACCCGTGTCCCTCTAAGGTTACATATAGTGCCTGTTTTAAAAAACAAACAAAGCTTGGATGCTGTCCTTCCCAGGGTTCTCTTAGCTTAAATGATACAAGATGGTACTAGAATTCAGGAGACAATATTGCCCTTCAGAGAACAACCATAATACATCCTAGCAGCCACCCCTGTAAATTCAAAGTGCAAATTTCACTTTTGCTGCTTGACTATGTAGCACATTCTCTGCTGATGTTGTAGAACAGGAATAGCCAACATAGTTCACATGTTGTCTCCCTGCAGTTCACATGAAGCCTGACAACTGACTGGGCTGGATGGGGCTGATGGAAATTGTTGTTCAACAACATCTGGAAGGTACCACATTGGCTACACCTCTTATAGGGAGTGTGTGCTGTAGATACCTTAATTGTCTGTGGTGGAAAGGAAAGGAAAGGTATTGAGGATGGCCTGAAGGACAGGCGGCCTGCCAAGCCCAGGGAGCCCTGCAAACCTTTCCCTATTGCAGAGCTGCTTAGGCATCAACTGGGTATTGTGGAAAAGATAGCTGGAACCACGCTACTAAGTAGCACTGGGACTGTGATCTTTTGGCTGCATCAGAAGCTCTGAGGAGGAGCTTTCCCACCCTAAGGCTCCTGTTCCAGCCAGAATCATTGTCCCCCAAGCTGAGAATTGCAGGGAGTTTGTACCTGGTGTGTTTACACCTGCAGGCTGTTAAATGCACTGGGGCGGTCTGCTTCCCCCCAGGTTACTCTGAAAGTTCATGCCCTGCCAGAGGAGGGAGCCTTTTGGCGTAGGGTTGGTGCTCCTGTGAAGAGAGAAAAACAGCCCAGAGCTTTCCTCCCAAAGGACTGTGGAAATGATGTTTCTTAAATATCCCACATGGAGAAAATACATTGTAGATAATGTGAACCTTTATAGAACCACTCCAGAAACAACACAGAAGTGGTCCATTTCTCTCTCTGAGGGTGAAAAAGAAGTGAAGACTAACAACTATGAAAAATATTCATATGAACTCCCCGGTTCCACCATGAACACAAATTATCAAGTGACATCTGCAGGGGCCTTTGTTGTGAGACACACCATTGATCCATCTAGCTCCACACTGCCTGCACAGACTGGCAGGGGCTCTCCATGGCTGCAGGTAGGGGAGATCCTCAGCCCTACTGGGAGATGCCAGAGATTGAACCTGGAACCTTCTGAATAAAAAAGGAACCATGGTCTTTTCCCATAGGAAGTGTCAGCCTATTGCAAGCTTGGCCCCAGATCTGACAGGTGGTGGAAAAAGCCATCCCACTGCCAGTAAAAAGCACTAGGAGCCAGCTCTGTGACTTTCTTCCCTTCCTGCTTCAACGCTGCACAGTCACCAGGCTGCGGCATCAAGGAAGGACATTATAAGATGGACACCAGCCACAGAAGGCATCCATTGCATTTGTGAAAGTGCTCTGCGCAATTGGGCACTATTTTCTGCACCCCTCCACAGCTGTGCCTCTTACTTCCTTCTCTCATACAGCAGCATCCATTCTCTCCCGCAGGGATCTTGACCCTATACTATAACAACCTCTGACAACAACACCGGGTGACTGGAAGTCGGGTTACAGGAGCTGCCTTTGCCGACAACACAATTATTTCTCAGCATTCAGTTTCTAGACACCGATCAAGTGTTCCTTTCGCTTGCCTTTCTGTTTGTTTGCTCGCAGTTGTATATTAATGAGGTGCCTGGAATAGTCTTTATCAAACCCAGTCTGCAGCCACTGCCATATGGCACCTATCTACCTGCTGACAACATAATTAGCCACCCACCCCCTGTAACATTTTCCAGCACCGGCTTCTGAAAACACAACCAAACAACAACTCCCACCATTGCTCCAGCACTATTCAGGAGTTGACAGATTAAAGCTTTGCTTTATTTCCAGTGTCTCAAGAAGCAAATTAGCTGCTATAAATCCTTTCCCAAAAAAAATTTTTTTAAGCTGTCCTGGATTTCTATTCTGCCCCTGCTACCTCACTCTTGCCTATTCATTCTATGTTTACTGGATCAGTTATGCCAAGTCTAACAAAAGTTCAGTGCTGGCTCAAAACATCCTGCAAGAGACCCATAACCTGGCTGAGTTGAGGAGATGGCAGGTTGTAGCTCAGAGGCAGAACGTCTGCTCTGCATACAGAAAGTTCCAGGTTCAATCCTTGGCATCTCCAGGTAGAGCTTGGAACACTCCCTGTCAAAACTTGGAGAGTCACTGCCAGCCAGTGTTGAGACTATTTAGCTAGATGGACCAATGGTCTGACTCAGGATAAGCAGTTTCCTATGAACTGTAATGTGAAGAGGAACAATTTATGCTGGAAATGCAGAGTCAGGTCGTTCTATATCAAGTGATCCAGGATTTTCACCTCATGTCATACAATTTCCTTAATATTTTGTACACTTGTTGAATGATCAGAACAAAGTTTAAACCTAATTTTTTTATCTCATCCCATTTATGAGTTATGAGGATTTGAAGTTGCAAGAAATTGACGGTTTTGGCCTTGTCAGACTACACAAAAAACCTTAAAAGCTCAGCCCAGAACTGAGATACGTCAAGACTAAAAACACCAATCTCTTCAGAACTATATGGGCTTTAATATGATATGCCAAGTGATGGACTTACTTTAAAAATTAAATTTAAGTTACAAAATTTAAAATTGAAACAGTGATTAAAAAAATACGATTTAGAAAATACAAACAACCGTATTGATTATTTAATATATCTAAGAGCTACCTGCAAAATTTCATCTTGGGTTCTCAATGGGATCATTATATATTTCTTGGAGTAAAATATAACAGAATAAACAAGGCTTCAGACTGTAATATCAGTTACTTCAGATATTTCTTTAGAAAGTTATTCAATTAAAAGGTACCTGAAAAGCTAGTCAGGCTTTTCTTTTAAAAATGTGTTACAATGCAGAGCGATAGCTTGCAGTTGCATGATAGAAATGCCTGAAGAGGGATGGAGGCCAGTGTTGCCCCTGACCATCATTCAAGGCACCAGGGTGCCATGGCATACTGGTTGAAAACCACTGGTTTAGATAATACTGAGCTAGATGGTCCAGTGGTCTGACTCAGTATTAGGGCTTATGCACACTTTATAAAGCAACCTGCATGCTGGCTGAGCCATTTCCTTCCCTTCCCTTATCTGACGTACACACTACAGTTGTACCTTGGGTTACAGACACTTCAGGTTACAGACTTCGCTAACCCAGAAATAGGACCTCGGGTTAAGAACTTTGCTTCAGGATGAGAACAGAAATTGGGAGGCGGTGTGGCAGCAGTGGGAGGCCCCATTAGCTAAAGTGGTGTTTCAGGTTAAGAACAGTTTCAGGTTAAGAACGGACATCCAGAATGAATTAAGTTCTTAACCAGAGGTACCACTGTATAATCATTTTCTTAAGCACAGCATCCATTTATTCTATGGGAAATTAGCAAAATTTGACGACTCTTGACTTGGGAGTTTGTTCATGGATCTGGTAGAAGCAGCACCTCAGTGCAGCCTTTAATAAGGCTCAGCCTTAACGCTCAGAAAAAGATAGAGAAGCAGATCCACAGTCCCCTGGAAACAAGGAATGCCTTGGGAAAGCCGAAGGCAGACTTCAAGAACCAGATGTTTTGCCTAGGAAATATGATATGGATAAAAGCAGGGAGCCGATCTGAAAGGAAAAGGGGCTAGACCATATGACTTTGATTCTTGAGGCAGCTGCTTTCTCTCTTTTCACTCTCCCTGCCTTTGGCAAATGGACAATCTGATTGCTCCTGCTGCAGCAAGTTATCTTATCTCCTTTTCCTGGGCTGACTCTCCATCCTACCGACACAGCATATGGCAAGGCTTATCATGTGGAAACTCCTGATGACCTTAGTAGTTTCCGCACTGCCAATGCCTGCTTCTGGGCAACACCGAGTCCCACCAGCACAGAACTTTTCCATGTCTTCGGCAGTTTCCTGCAGGGCAAGAATAAATACCTAGAGTACTTGAGCGATTTGGTTGTGTGAGTGGATTGGGCTGAAAAGACTTCGCTCTTTAAAGAGATGTCAAGTAGAAGATGGAGCAAGCTTGTTTTCTCCTGCTTTGGCGGGTAGGACCCAAGTTGCAAGAAAGGATATTCAAGAATGGATTCAAGTTACAGGTTACAAGAAAGGAGATTCCGACTAAACTTCAGGAAGAACTTTCTGACAGGAAGAGCTGTTTGAAAGTGGAACAGACTCCCTCAGAAGGTGGTGGGCTCTCCTTCCTTGAAGGTTTTAATGAAGATGTTGGAGGGCCATCTGTCATGGATGCTTTAGTTGAGATTCCTACATTGCAGGGGGTTGGCCCCCGGGACCCCTTCCAACTGTACAATTCTTTGGTGCTGTTATTCGCCTACCTCTCATTCTCATTCCATATAGTTAAAGCAATGGTTTTCCCAATTGTGATGTATGGAAGTGAGAGCTGGACCATAAAGAAGGTTGATCATCGAAGAATTGATGCTTTGGAATTATGGTGTTGGAGGAAACTCTTGAGAGTCCCATGGACTGCAAGAAGATCAAACCTATCTATTCTGAAGGAAATCAGCCCTGAGTGCTCACTGGAAGGACACATCCTGAAGCTGAGGCTCCAATACTTTGGCCACCTCATGAGAAGAGAAGACTCCCTGGAAAAGACCCTGATGTTGGGAAAGATGGAGGGCACAAGGAGAAGGGGACGACAGAGGATGAGATGGTTGGACAGTGTTCTCGAAGCTACCAGCATGAGTTTAACCAAACTGCGGGAGGCAGTGGAAGACAGGAGTGCCTGGCGTGCTCTGGTCCATGGGGTCACGAAGAGTCGGACACGACTAAACGACTAAACAACTAAACAACTAAACAACTAAACAACTAAACAACTAAACAACAACAACAACAACAACTCATTCTGATCTATCCAAGTCACTGTTAGGATGGTTTTTGTATAACCATCCACAATGAAACAGAATCACTTGTTCCTTTATGCCTGATCTGTGCATGTTTATTTAGAATTAGGTCCCGTTGACTCAATGGGATCAATTCCTGAGTTATGCCTCTCTCTTTCCCTGCCCCCCCAGACAGATTCACCTCAGCAGCCCTCCCTTCAAGGTGCTTTGGGCATCACAGCTGCCTCCTCCCCCACCACAGTCCCAGCGCAGCTTAACTTTCAGCAAGTGCTTAATCTTGGCAGAGCATCACTTTATTGCTCTCAAAGGGAAAACATGTCTGAGGTCTTGCAAGAACATGAGAGCGAATTTCCTGAAATGAGTTTGATCTCTCCAAGTTGTTGTGTTTAGCCAGGAAGGAAAATCAGTCTAGACGGTCACATGACTGGTCAGGAGACCTGATTTACCGAAGGTTATTACTCCCCTTGCAAAGTGAAGAACATACAAAGCTTTGCTTAAACAAGAATGCACGTCTCAGTTGTATGAGGCTGTGTTCAAATGAAATGTGACAACGGCTATGAGGAAATAACCACAGACATAGAAACCACTTGCCAAAATAGAGATAGACAAATCTATCATTTTTGGTTTCTCTCCTTTTCTCGTTTTCCAGTCACAAGTTCTCCACATTTCTGCAGCAATCCTTGTGAAATTTCATCAGCACTTTAGTGCAAATTTCTCCCCATAAACACCTTTTTATATGCAGTGTTGACTAACATACACATTTTTGCAAGGAATTTTCTCTAATAAAATACATTTTTGTACACTTTGGTTGGTTGGAGAACAAAATTGAATTTCCCCAGCACCCAGGAGCTAAATTCAGCCAGTGCAATTCTTTCAGCAGCCATGTCCCGTGATGGTGATAGTTTACTCCATGTGTTGATATTATTCAGCGACATCTCTTGTAAAGACAATCAAAGGTGGGCAGAACAAAGGTGAAGACAGAACATAGCTGGAATGAGATGATCCTGGATGAAGGTGGCAGATGTATTGCCTAAGGAGCAATCGTTCTTTTAGGATTTAGAACACACAAATAGAGTGAAGGCTAAAGATTTCATCAAATGGCCCCCCTCCCCAAAGCTACAAAGCATTGCCATAATCTTATGCCCTCTAGTGCTGTCAGAGAACCACCCAATTGACAGCTTGGCACAGAGGTGACAACTAACAAATGTCTGCTTGGGGCTTATAGACCCTTTGGACTGTGCATTTGGGCGATACATCCATTCCCAACAGAGTGGCTGTTGGGGTTACATAAGCCACAGCTGGTGTTAGAGGGACACATCAGTTTCCCAAGTGAGTGAAAGTCTAACGCTTGGAAGGAAGTCAACACAGAGGTGACTCCCAAGGCTATCCTATACTACTTTTTTCAGGTGCCCCGTGAAGTGCCATCTCAGTGCCATCTCAACAAATAACTGACTGTGGGAGACTAATCCTTTATCAAATGAACAGGAACACTTAAAGGACCAGGCCCACAGGATTTATAGTAACTGTGGGGGCATAGGAGGGGCAATTGCTGGGCACCATGCTAATCTCCTCGAGGTAACAATAATCTTTGATGTGTCAATACATTGGAAGGGGACGATTTGCAGATAAGCTTTCAGCAGAGGGAAGGTGAGTTGACTATGGAAGGTTTGTAGTCTATTATTATACTGAGCTAAGATGAGTAGTTAAAGTGAAATTGTTGTAGGGAATGAAGCCTTAATGAAATTACCGTGCTCTCTGAGAACTGAACAAGCTAATTATTGCTGAAGTCCAGGAATCAATACTCAGTAAAAGATGCAGCACTGAAAGGCAGCCAATATACGCGCCACATTTTCCAGACCAGAAATTACTCCTGTGCAAATGCCATATGTGCAATTTGATTTCCTAGATATCCATGAGCTGCCATCAATAGGGGGGTTTGTTCTGTGTGCAATGAGTGAAGTTTAGCAATTTGCAGATATGAAAGGAATGCTTATTATTGATCTTCCACATATGTCCCAAGGTGATAAAGATAGGGGGTGGGGAAACAGCTAAATAAAAACATATTAGGATAAGTTAAGGTACATATTGGACAGTGTTCTTGAAGCTACGAACATGAGTTTGACCAAACTGCAGGAGGCAGTGGAAGACAGGAGTGCCTGGCATGCTCTGGTCCATGGGGTCACAAAGAGTCGGACATGACTAAATGACTAAACAACAACAACAGGTACATATTAGGACAACATATTAACTCTGCGGGGTAGGAGCGGAACCAATGGATTCCAGTTACAAGGAAGGAGATTCTGACTAAATAGCAAGAGCTGTTTGACAGTCAAATGGTTCCTCCCTCAGGAGGTGGTGGGCTCTCCTTCCTTGGAGGTTTTTAGGCAGAGGTTAGATGACCATCTGTCATGGATGTGTCCGCTGCAATTCCTGCACTGTAGCAAGTTGGACTAGATGACCCTCCGAGTCCCAGCTCTACAATTCTATGATTATAGGGAACTAATCTACTCTAAAGTGAAAGTTACAGCTTAAAGCATGCAATGCTTTAATGGAGAAAGAAGTTATAAATAAATAGGTGGAGAAATGGTGTGTGTCATGAAGCCAGTTTTCAGGTAGCCTTTTAGGCTGCAAACCTGTACCAACTCACCTGGAAATAGTCTCTACTGAACACAATGAGACTTAATTCTGGGTAAGAAGATATCGTAAAGGTGGGGAACCTCCAGACCATAGGTCTAATTGGATCCACTACAGGTCCCTATTTGACCCACAAAGATATTTCACCCAAACCATGAACACGTGCCACCATATGTGATGCAAGGTATGGGGTAGGTGGAAAAACAACTGCCAGTGAATAATAAGGACCCTTAAAGTGCTCCCAATTGTTGCTTGGCACAGGAGACCTACTGCCAGTACAGTGGAACCTCGGTTTTTGAGTGTCTTGGAAGCCGAATGATTTGGAACCTGAACACCAAAATCTTGGAATTGCTTCCTTTTTTGAACACGCCTCGGAAGTTGAGCGTCTTCCAAGGCACGTTTTTCTTTTTCCCCATTGACTTTGCAGCCAGCCTATTGATCCTCGGTTTTGGAACTTTTTGGAAGTCGAACGGTCTTCTGGAATGGATTACGTTCGAAAACTGAGGTTCCACTGTACCTGTCAGCTGATAGGCCGTGACAGGAAGCCTGCACTGTGGAATTCCTCATTAGGAACTTGGTAGTGCATTGCCCTGGGAACATTGGGAGCTGCCTTAATACAAAGTCAGACTGTCAATCTACCTCAGTATTGTCTACACCGACTGGCAGCTGCTCTCCAGGGATTCATACAGGGGACATTCCCCGAACTCCCTTGAGATGCCGGGAATTGAACCTGGAACCATCTGCATGCAAAGCTGATGGTTCTGCCACAGAGCTATAGCCCTTGGCCACCCCATTCTCAACTCAAAAGAAGCTGTGTCTGGAAGACTGGAAGGAAAGTGCCCACAAAAGAGAAAACACTTTGTTACTCAGGCAATGCTTCTTGTTCAGAATGCCAGCTGATTCAGTCTCCAATTGCTTCCTTTCTTTCTAGCACAGGTCGATTCTGTGTCCAGGGGAGCTGTCTATCAGCTCCATCTGGTACGCAGGCTGAGATCCTACCTGCCCGCAGACTGTCTCGCCAGAGTGGTGCATGCTCTGGTTATCTCCCACTTGGACTACTGCAATGCGCTCTATGTGGGACTACCTCTGAAGGTGACCCGGAAACTACAATTAATCCAGAATGCGGCAGCTAGACTGGTGACTGGGAGCTGCCGCCGAGACCATATAACACCGGTCTTGAAAGACCTACATTGGCTCCCAGTACGTTTCCGAGCACAAAGTATTGGTGCTAACCTTTAAAGCCCTAAACGGCCTTGGTCCAGTATACCTGAAGGAGTGTCTCCACCCCCATCGTTCTGCCCGGACACTGAAGTCCAGCACTGAGGGCCTTCTGGCGGTTCCCTCACTGCGAGAAGCCAAGTCACAGGGAACCAGGCAGAGGGCCTTCTCGGTAGTGGCACCCTCCCTGTGGAACGCCCTCCCCCCCCGATGTCAAAAGGAAATTTAACTACCAAACTTTTAGAAGACATATAAGGCAGCCCTGTTTAGGGAAGCTTTTAATGTTTAATAGGTTACTGTATGTTTGTGTTTTGTTGGAAGCCGCCCAGGGTGGCTGGGGGGACCCAGCCAGGTGGGCGGGGTATAAATAATAAATTGTTATTATTATTATTATTACTAGCCTCTGAGGTGCATCGCATGCCACCCCAGTCTCTGAGCAGTGTGAGATTCCAGGGATTCGGGGGCACTTACCTAGGGTTCAGTTTCCTCGGAATGTGAGAAAGCAGAGACTGAGTTGTCTTAATGATTTTATTATTATTATTATTACCATTATTATTATTTTGATGCCGTGCTTCATACGCAGATCTCAGGGAGATTCACAACATAAAAATATATGGTTTATTTACACATACAGTCAAACCTCGGCTGTCAAACGTAATCCGTTCCAGAAGAGCATTCGACTTCCAAAACGTTCGATGACTGAGGCGTGGCTTCCGATTGGTTGCAAGAGCTTCTTGCACTCAAGTGAAAGCTGTGTTGGACGTTTGGGTTTCAAAAACTGTTTGAAAGCTGGAACATTTACTTCCAGGTTTGGGAGCCGAAACGGACGATAACAGATGTGTTCGGAAACTGAGGTTTGACTGCATATACAACCTGAGCCTGTGATGGAAGGGCTCACAGCATTAACACCCCAGAAGGTCTTCTCCCATAGCCACAGTCTTGAATTCCAGCAGAAATCAAGCTTGGCTTCTGCCTGCAGCCTGCCTCTAGCCTAGAGTTACCAGATGTCCCCAGTTCCTGGGGACAGACCCCGGATTTGCAAATCTGTCCCCGGATAAATTCCAACCCTGTAATGTCCCCAGATTTGCAAATCTGTCCCTGGGAAACGTGGCAGCAGCAGCCTCAGCAGCCCAGAGCCAGCCTGGTAGCGCAGTTGCCTCTGGCTGGCTTCAGGAGCTGCTCGCTGCTGTGGTGCCCGCCATTTTTCCTCGCCGGAAGTCCCCATGTGATGTGTTGTGCACAAGTCACATCATATGGGGACTTCCGGTGAGAAAAAATGCTGCTGCCGCCACTGCCAAAAGGGAACCGGGGATGTCTGGCGATACAGATCAAAGGGGTAAGGGGGCAGGAGATTGGGGAAGGCTTGGGAGTCATGGGCAGGTGGCATGCCATTGCCCAGGAGGGGCGCAAGGCGCATGCTTTCTCCGCTGGGCAAGGTGCAGAGTTCTTCTTTCACATCCAGTGAAACATAAATGCACAGCGTTTTTTAAAAACTGGGCAACAGCGTGCTGCCCACCCGTGACTCCCAAGCCTTTCCCAATCTCCTGCCCCCTTCCCCCTTTGTTTTGACTTGGGAGTCCCGGCTCAGTTTTTTAAAAACTCTGCACATTTATGTTTCACAGGGTGCGAAAGAAGGGCTTTGCACCTTTATACAATATGCACGTGTGCTTGGGCCCAGGGTCCTTTGCCTCACCATCCCCACTACCGACTCCCTGTTGCTACTCAGCTTAAAAAAATAAGAGTGTCCCTGGATTCATTGAAAATAATCTGGTAACCATATTCTAATACATGCTGAGCACACTGGCTTTTGATTAAGCTTAACATTGAAAGGCATATAGCATGAGTTTCAAAGACGAAGTTAATAAAAACCTTTTCTTCAATTGCACCACAGGCTCCAGTGTGAGATTAACTCAGACATTTAGGTGCAAAATAAGTAACTCTAGGAAATGAAAACTACTGATGAAGCTGCAATTTTTTTATTTTGAAAGTATGGCCCCATAGAAGGAAGTTTGAGAACCACTGTTCTAGAGTGTAAATTTGAACTCTGCTAATTAGATAATCAAATGAGCACTATTGGAGACAAAAGATGAAGAGGTAAAATCAGTCATGATCAAATGGGCACAAGATATAGGTCATAACATTATGATGGAAGATTGGGAAAGGTTATGGAAAATTTATTTACAGATTGTTCGTTGAAAGAAAATTATATGAAGATGATGTATAGATGGTATACGACACCAGTGCAGTTAGGAAAAATGTATAAAACAAACTCAAATATGTGTTGGAAGTATAAAGAAAAGGGGGGGACATTTTACCATATGTGGTGGGATTGTAATGAAATTGAAAACTTTTGGGAAATGATATATAATGAATTGAAGAAAATGTTCCATCTAACATTTGTTTAAAAACCTGAAGCATTTTTGTTAGGGATTGTAGGAAAAGACCTGCCAAAGAAGTTGAAAAATATCTTCATGTATGCGACAACGGCGGCGAGAGTCTTAATAGCACAAGGATGGAAGACTGAGGAAATCCCGACTAAAGAATTGTGGCAAGAGAAACTGATGGACTATGCAAAATTGGCAAAATTGACACATAAACTATGGGACAAGGATAACTGTGACTTTAAAGATGAATGGGAACCTTTTACAAAGTATCTAAAGATCCAACAAAGTGAATTGGACTCCTTGGCAGGCTTTGAATAAACACTCCACTCACAAACTTTTCATTGATAATAACTAACCAGTTAGACAAATTAAGGATTTATACAGTGGTGCCTCGCAAGACGAAATTAATCCGTTCCACGAGTCTCTTCGTCTAGCGGTTTTTTCGTCTTGCAAAGCAACCCTATTAGCGGCTTAGCGGATTAGCGCTATTAGCAGTTTAGAGGCTATTAAAGGCTTAGCGGCTTAGCGGCTAAAAGGCTATTAGCGGCTTAGAAAAAGGGGGGGAGCGAAAAAAATCTCAAGACTCGCAAGACATTTTCATCTTGCGAAGCAAGCCCATAGGGAAATTCGTCCTGCAAAGCGCATTGAAAAATGGAAAACCCTTTCGTCTAGCGGGTTTTCCGTCATGCGAGGCATTCGTCTTGCGGGGCACCACTGTACAATCTTGTAACATGCAGAGAATAGCATCTATAGAGAAACCAGAGATTGGAACTGAAGGAAGTCCGGGGCGGGCGGGGTGGGGCGGGGGTTATTTTATGGGAGGGAGGGTGGAAATGGGGTGGAAATGAAGGATGAAATGCTTTAAGATAATATGTTTAAATTCCTAATAATTTTTTTTTTAAAAGAAAAATAATCAAACGAGCACTATTACATTGATTTCTGCATATTAAACCATCTGTGCAAGAGCAGGTCAGGCTGCTTTCCCCCCTGGCTTGTTGGCAACCTCTGCCGCAGCCTTGTCTGCTATGTTTTCTAGGCTCTGGAGAATCAGAGAGGCTCTGCTTCTCTTTCTCCACAAATGAAACTCTCAATTCCTTCTGCTGCTGCTGCCCACAAGCAGGGCTCCTCTCCTCTCTCTGCCCCTTTGTTCTCCTTGGAAATGAACCAACAGATTCTTCTTCCCATGTGGTGCCCTGTGCAAAAGTTGTTGACCAGTCCTTTTTTTTAAAAAAAGCATCTCCACAGCTTGCTTCCTGCTTTAAAAGAAACTGACTTTAAAAAGATGGGTGGCGGCCGCAAAAGCAGCAGGGGTACCTTTTGGTCACACACCCCGCCTTGAGTCATTCCTTGTTCTCTGAGCTCTGAAATAAACTGTCTTCCCCTCCCATGAAGGTCTTCTGCCTCTGAAGAACCTGCTTTGGAAAGGCAAAAAAGAGAAAGAGCCATACTCTTTGATATTTTCCCATAGAGTAAGGTTACCAGATGTCCCTGTTTCCCGGGGACAGTCCCTGGATTTACAGATTTCTCGGCATTCACATGTACATAGCAAACAATAACTGTCCCCCGGATTCATTGAAAAAAAATCTGGTAACCTTATTCTAGCCCAGCTCTCTCTCACACTGTTATGTACTGAGTTGAATAGGATCCAAAAGGCAGCAGTCTGATTGGTCCTAGAACAATAGGATTCATAATGCAGCAGTCTGATTGGTCCTAGAACAATAGGATTCAGAATGCAGCAGTCTGATTGGTCCTAGAACAATAGGATTCATAATGCAGCAGTCTGATTGGTCCTAGAACAATAGGGTCCAGAATGCAGTAGTCTGATTGGTCCACAGGAGCCACCCAATCCAGCTCCAGGTGGAAGTGAATCCGCAACCTGATTGGCCTACAGGTGAATCCCGGAATTAGCCAATCACGTGGGGCCCATTGTGTAAATAATGTATATAAAGCAGACATTCTGGGGGAACTTCCATTCCTCCTCACCACTATGAACTGAATAAAGAGCATGAAATCCACTCTCGACTCCGAGTATATTACACACACACACACTCAACTCTCTGGCTTTTGTTTTTGTCATTGCCAGCTGCCGATTTCCCCTATGGTGCAGAGAGCTTCTGTTTTTACACTAACGACCCATAGTTAGGGGGCCATTATGGCCCTTGCCTGGCTAATTCAACACTAATTACAAGGGACTCAGACACCATGCAGCAGCTGCCCACCCCGTGTGTGTGTGTGTGTGTGTGTGTGTGTGTAGAGGGAATACGGAGAGAGAGGGGAAATAGTGTTTCTGATTGACTGGCATCTAATCCCTCTGCTCAGGCCTCTGTTTTGCTGAAGGGTTCCTGGCTCATCCAGAGTGTTTTATTTCCACACATAAAAACCATGCGCATTTCATTTATGTCATACTTGCAGGCTGGACCTCATGCATAATAACCGTGTGTGTTCCATGCCAGCAGAGGAAATGGATTTTGGTTTGTGATTTTTTTTTAAAGAGCATAGCGGCCCAGAGCACACCATAAAAAGTATTCGGAGCCCTGTAAACTTTGGGTTTTGTTTTTGCGGGAGGATTACAGGCAGCCTGATGTTGTGAAAGAATAATGGCTGGGATGAGGGCAACTGACACTTGTCATGGAAACAATAAGCCTTCACAACCCACATGCGCCCCAGATGTAATCTCCTCTGATGGAGATCAAAGAATGCCAAATCTCCCAACTTAATGTACTCGCCTGCGCTTCTATTTCAGCTGGGAGATCTCCATCAGATAAAGCAGGCAGCATTTTGTCCGATGACTGTCTTGCCTTCTGCGTTGCTCAAACTCTCACTGTTTTCTAAGGATTTGTGAAACCCTGGATACAGCATAGCCCGACTCAATCAGGACAATAATTAGAGTCAAAATGGTTCACAGAAAATAATAAATGCTGGTGGAATGAAGTGAGGTGAAGTTATTGGGGGAAGGGCATAGTTAATATATTGTTCCTAAGCAGTTTTCAGACCCCCGAGCAGTGCTTTTTTTTAATAAAAAAAAATGTTTAAGGGGTACTCTCATTTTGACTCAAGAAAATCACGGGGAAAGGAAATGAGGCCACTATCGGAGGTGCTAGATTCCAAGTCCTACTTCACACGTTAAACACTCGCTTCCATCTGAGACTCAGGAAACACTGTGACAGAAAATGAGGCCGCCATCGGGGGTAGCAACGGAACTGATGATTTACCGTGCTAGCAAAGAAACTAATTTTTAAATTTTTTTTTAGTTTCTTCTCCCGTTAGATTCACAAAATGTTTAGAGGTATGTGTACCCCTGTGTCCCGTGTCCCCCCCCCCGAAAAAAGCACTGCCCCTGAGTACTGAACACTGAAGATGGAGGGACTAAGGATAGCAACATACCGCTCCGTCTATTTCTGACGTTCAAGAGGAGAGTGTCATTACTAGGGATGGAAAGATTTGTCAGCTTCGGTTGTCTCAATTTCTCTTTTTCCTCCCCTGAAGATCAGTTCTCCACATTTATGCAGCAGTTTGTGACTAAAAAAAATAATAATTTAAAAATCCCCATGAAAATTATCCAGCATTACAGTGCAAATTTCTCCTAATAAACACATTTTTGCATGCAGTTTTGACACATTTTGGCATGCAATTTCTCTTAATATCATGCATTTTTGCATGTTATCCTCACCAATATATTTTCATGATCCAGCAGCCTTTTCTTATGTTCGCACATCCCTATGAAAGTGGAGCAAACAGCTTCTCTCCCCTGAGTAGAACTGCTGCTTATGCATGCTCTGTTTCATAAGAACACAGGAAGAGATCTGTTGGATCAGGCCAATGGCCCACCGAGTTCTGCATTCTGTCCTCACAGTGGCTAACCAGCCCTCTCCCGGGATGCCCAGCATAAGAATACAATGATAGCTGTGAGAAGCTCATGATAAGCAGAGAGCATAACATTAAATCTAATTCATTGCTAGTAACTCTTCACCAACGAAAGAGAAGATTTTCCCCTTCCTTCAATTCCCCTTCTCCTTTCTCTGGCATGATGAACTGGGTGGGTGGGGATAATCCTACAGTTTAGAGGAATGGCAGTGGCTGAGAGCAGCCTTGTCTTTGTGGATGAATGCTTTTAATTTCATCATGAACAGGACTGCTGCACCCGTCAAGTCGCAAAAGGAAGTTCTGTACAAGTCCAAGTCGAATGGAACTACCCAGCGTGAGATGCAGCGAAATGTGACCAAATGGGGAAAGCGAGGCTGAGAAGTAATTTAATGTGCTCCATGGGAGTGGAGATTTCTTCTTGAACAATGCTTGATAACCGTGCAGAGCGGAGTTCGCTATAGAGGAGAAATGTTTCACTCTGGCAAGGACCATTCAGAGGTACTGTTTCAGGCCTCACGGAGGTGTCAGAGGTTTCAGTAGTGAGGAAAGGAGACAAGACCAAGCAAGGTCCAAAGGCCTGTTCTTGGATATAGTCAAGAAGGATCTGATTTGGGCCCACACTTGATTATATGGGTTTCCTGCAACCTCACACACTCTAGTCAATGGTTAAGGCCAAGTTGATTGGTGGTGCTGTTCGTGGGAGGGAAAGAGAAAAAAACAACCAAAATGATGTCTGACGTTTAACAAAGCAAATGAAATCCCTGTTGGGTAGCAGAGGAGTGGGGCAAGTGACAGCTGTAGCCCAAGGCCATCAAACAATAGAAGGGGGGCTGATTTAGGATTAGAGACCTATAGATTTCTTTATGTCTGTCAGGGACCGTGCTGAGGAGGGCTGCACTGAGGAGGAATGGTGAGAGCCACCCCCTCCCCCTGATCCTTATCCTGAATCTTCCCAGGAGCAGGAGGATAGTATAGATTTGGAACAGTGGTTTGCAGAGGGGCATAGTTCAGAAGGCAGATGTTGGGAAGAACTGTTTGGTGAACAGCTAGGAGAAGAAACACTGGAGGAAAGAGGGTTAACAGATTCACTGTCTATGGAAAGCATTCATCCACTCTCCCCAAGGTCAATAATAATAATAATAATTTATTATTTATACCCTGCCCATCTGGCTGGGCTTCCCCAGCCACTCTGGGCAGCTTCCAACAGAATATTAAAATACAATAACCCATTAAACATTAAAAGCTTCCCTAAACAGGGCTGCCTTCAGATGTCTTCTAAAAGTCTGGTAGTTGTTTTTCTATTTGACATCTGGTGGGAGGGTGTTCCACAGGGCGGGTACCACTACCAAGAAGGCCCTCTGCCTGGTTCCCTGTAACTTGGCTTCTCACAGTGAGGGAACCGCCAGAAGGCCCTCAGTGCTGGACTTCAGTGTCCGGGCAGAACGATGGGGGTGGAGACGCTCCTTCAGGTATACTGGACCGAGGCCGTTTAGGGCTTTAAAGGTCAACACCAACACTTTGAATTGTGCTTGGAAACGTACTGGGAGCCAGTGTAGGTCTTTCAAGAGCTGAGAAAGTGGCAGAACAGAAAGCACACAAAGCACAGAGGGGACAGGCCCAAATTACAAGACCTGGAAGTGACGTAGATTAATAGGGACAGAAGGGGGTGGGATCCTTAATTGGGAGCACCGCCATTTCTATGAGACGAGTTCTTTGTTCTCTTGCTGTGATTATTAAAGTTTCTAAGTGGTAAGAAGACTCCTTTTCCTTTGTTCTGCTTATCTACTGCCATGGAGGGAGGAAGCTGATTCCCTGAAGCCTGACAATGTCCATATCAGAAGAGCCTGCTGGATCAGGCCAGTGGTCCTTCAAGTCCAGTATCCTGTTCTCACAGTGGCCAACCAGGTGCCTGAAGCAGGATCTGACCACAAGAGCCCGCACCCTTCCTTTTAAAGCCATCTAGACTGGTGGAATGCAGCTACTACTGGCAGACAGGGGGAAGGTCTCAGGGCCAGAGGAATCTCAGTCATGGGATTAATTAACCAGCTTCTGCTTAATTTGTGTCCTGGTTTCGTTGCACACCATGCTTGCTTGGGGTGGGAAAGGGCACATTTCCCCAGAGGAACGGCTAACAGCCAAAAGTGTGCAAACATTCCCCATGAGACATGTGTTTGTTTAAAGCGAGAAAGCGGGAAAAGAACATCTTTGAACCCAGAGAGCACTCGGCCATCAATTTGGTCCCACCAAGACAGAGGCTGCATCTTGATTGAAAAGCCTCTCACACCCAAAGGATTCCTGTCTGGCGGCTTTCAGAGGAGAGAGAGAGACTGCATTCATCTCAAACTGCTTGGCTCTCAGCTCTGACAAGTACAGATTGTTTTTCTGGAGAGTGTTTTGATTTCACTCTATTCAGAAAAGAGGTTACCCATCAGGGGAAGGTGGTCATCTTGAAATAAAGAAAGCAACGCCGTGCCATTTGGAAAGAAATTTGGATTAAGGCGTCTGCAGGCCTGTCGGTCTGGAAATAGCATTGCATTTTGCAAAGGAAAAGAGGTGCATCTGATCTCAGGTCTAGCACGGCTTCTCCATTCAGTTTAAAATTATCAAGGTTCATCTTATTGCTTTAGTTCAGTGGTAGAGCATCTGTTTGGTGTACAAAAAGTCCAAGACTCAATGCCCAGCAGTGGAGAGCTGCTGCCAGTCAGTGAGGACAATACTGGGATAGATGGACCTATGGTACGACTTAGTATTAGGCAGCTCCTTATGTTCCTATTCAGATACATCTATACAGCCATCAGGCAATCAGTGTTCCCTGGGCAGCTTACAAAAAAAATAATATATATAATTTTTAATATAATGAAAATGAAAATCAAGAATATGTGCTAAAAACAACAAAACCTACAACAAAGACAAAATAGAACCATTTGAAGCAAAACTTAAAAGCCCAGGTATCTATCTACCTGCTGCCGAAAAGACCATAGGGAAGGCACCAGGCAAGGTGGGTTGGGGCAGGGGAAGAGTAAAAAAAGGTAAATGGTTAAGTCCAGTCAAGGGTGACTATGGGGTTGCTGCGCTTATCTCACTTTCCAGGCCAAGGGAGCCAGTGTTTGTCCACAGACAGCTTTCCTGGTCATGTGGCCAGCAGGACTAAACCACTTCTGGTGCAATGGGACACTGTGATGGAAACCAGAGCACACGGAAATGACGTTTACCTTCCCACCGCAGCGGTACCTATTCATCTACTTGCACTGGTGTGCTTTCGAACTGCTAGGTTGGCAGGAGCAGGGACAGAGGAATGGGAGCTCACCCTGTTGCACGGATTTGAAGGGGAAGAGCAGATTCCCCCCTACTCATGAGCTCCAACTGCTGCCCCCAAGTGACAGCTGTTTGCTTTCAGATGACAGCATAGGAGTCAATATCTAGGGGTTGAGGTCCATAAAATTTTTGAGGGCGCCCCAAAGTTGATTGGCATTGCCATTCAAATGGTGTGTGTGCGCCATGTCATGTGATCGATTATGCAGAGCGCGGCCCCCCCCCAATATTTTATTCACGTTGGCTCCATTCGAAGACAGAAGGAGGTAACCAGACTTTCAAGTAGGTTCTAGGGAAGCAATGTAGAATATAACATACAGTGGTACCTTGGGTTACAGATGCTTCAAGTTACAGACGCTTCAGGTTACAGACTCCGCTGACCCAGAAATAGTACCTCGGGTTAAGAACTTTGCTTCAGGATGAGAACAGAAATTGTGCAGCGGCGGCGCAGCAGCAACAGGAGGCCCCGTTAGCTAAAGTGGTGCTTCAGGTTAAGAACAGCTTCAGGTTAAGAATGGACCTCCAGAACGAATTAAGTTCTTAACCCGAGGTACCACTGTATTGTGTATCCTTCATGGCATGTGATGCTGATTAGTAAAGCTGCAGTAGCAGTTGGTATCTGTGAAGGAATCCACAGCCAAATAACAACCCGAAATACTGCAGTCATCAGGAGTGACTTTTGAGTTTTGGAGAAAGCAGCATGGTGCCCTCTGTTGCTGACAGTATGGCGCTCAATCTTCTAGTTCATGGGTAGGCAAACTAAGGCCCGGGGTCTGAATCCAGTCCAAACGCCTTCTAAATCCGGCCCAGGGACGGTCTGGGAATCAGCGTGTTTTTACATGAGTAGAATGTGTGCTTTTATTTAAAATGCATCTCTGGGTTATTTGTGGGGCATAGGAATTCATTCATCCCCCCCAAAAAAAATATAGTCCGCCCCCTCCCCCACAAGGTCTGAGGGACTGCTGAAAAAGTTTTCTGACCCCTGTTCTAGTTATTCAGGATGAAAATAGACATCACCAACCACTTAAGGGGTGTCACATGGAAGAAGGAACAGGCTTGTTTTCTCCTGCTCCTGAGGATAGGTCCTGAACCGATGGATTCAAGTTACAAGAAAGGAGATTCTGACTCAACATCAGGAAGAACTTTCTGACAGTAAGTGCTGCTTGACGTGGAACGGTCTCCCTCAGGAGGTTTCTTTTCATGCAGAGTTTGGATGGCCATCTGTCATGGATGCTTTAGTTGAGATTCTTGCATTGCAGGGGGTTGGACTGGGTTCCTTCTGTGGGAATTAAACTCTAGCTCCCATTTACAGAGTTACGCGGAAGAGAGTCCAACTCTTGACTTAGTTCCCTTTTTCCTCCTATAAAAACCCGCAAAACACTCTCCTTGAAGTTTAAATAATAAATAACTCTTAACTCGATGCATTTGCACTTGCAGGTTAAATACACAAAGCAGGTAGGTGTAACTTATGTTGCTAATACATCTTACCTAGATTTGTAGGTGAGATAAAATACTGTCGCAGACTGACTAACTCTGAGACAGAGAGCAACATACCTGCTGTATGTTCTGCAGCACACCCACAGAACGTACCTGCTGCTCTAACTGTCAAGACTGTTCCCAACTGCCATAATCATACCAACTGAAAATAGCTGCCTCAGGTGTATGGCATCACAGAGTTCTGTAGCCCTGGTGATCATTAACCCTTTACTTAGCATTTTGGATCCTTTCATCCCACACCTTCCAGCTCTACAACTCTATGATAAAGTCTTTGATGTACTACTAACTTGATGCTGTTAAAAAAAGAAGAAGAAGAATGTGCTATGTGCTCTACCCGTGGTTGTTGTTGTTTAATCATTTAGTCGTGTCCGACTCTTTGTGACCCTATGGACCAGAGCATGCCAGGTACTCCTGTCTTCCACTGACTCCCACAGTTTGTCGAACTCATGTTAGTAGCTTTGAGAACACTGTCCAACCATCTCGTCCTCTGTCGTCCCCTTCTCCTTGTGCCCTCCATCTTTCCCAACATCAGGGTCTTTTCCAGGGATTCTTCTCTTCCTTCTCATGAGGTGGCCAAAATATTGGAGCCTCAGCTTCAGGATCTGTCCTTCAAGTGAGCACTCAGGGCTGATTTCCTTAAGAATGGATAGGTTTGATCTTCTTGTAGTCCATGGGACTCTCAAGAGTCCCCTCCAGCACCATAATTCAAAAGCATCAATTCTTCGGCGATCAGCCTTCGTTATGGTCCAGCTCTCACTTCCACACATCACTACTGGGGAAACCATAGCTTTAACTGTACGGACCTTTGTCGGCAAGGTGATGTCTCTGCTTTTTAAGTTGCTGTCAAGGTTTGCCATTGCTTTTCTCCCAAGAAGCAGGCGTCTTTTAATTTCGTGTCTGCTGTCACCATCTGCAGTAATCATGGAGCCCAAGAAAGTAAAATCTCTCACTGCCTCCATTTCTTCCCCTTCTATTTGCCAGGAGGTGATGGGACCAGTGGCCATGATCTTAGTTTTTTTTTATGTTGAGCTTCAGACCATATTTTGCACTCTCCTCTTTCACCCTCATTAAGAGGTTCTTTAATTCCTCCTCACTTTCCGCCATCAAGGTTGTGTCATCAGCATATCTGAGGTTGTTGATATTTCTTCCGGCAATCTTAACTCCGGCTTGGGATTCATTTAAAAAAAGAGGGTGGTGTTTGTATAGAGAGGGAATAGGGGAGGAAATGGCTGGTAGAGAAAAGGTGAAGCACCCTTCTCCTGCTCGGCACTTGTGCCCTCAAAACGCCCCCTCCTCACCTTCACCTGAGTCATCAAATAACATGCTGGGATCAGTATTCACTGATGCAGCACCCACAACCTCTTTTGCCGATGGGGACAGAATGCCTTTTCCACAATGTCACAGCCCCTCCCCCCCCATTAAATGTGAGGAACCAATTCCCAGGTCTTTTATCCTCAGGTTTACTGGTGTTCCACTGCAGAGCCAGCTTGGGAATGCCAGAGTTTAACCCTGTGGAGGATGTGGAGGGAATAGTAAATACGAGAGGGTGGCTTCTTTTGTGTTTAAAATATGCAGGAAGCGTTTCCTTCAGTGCTGCGTAACCATAATCAGCTCACACATCTGCGGGGCTGGCAGAAATCACGTCTGCTACTGCTGCTTGTCAGTTTAATCTGCATTGTGCTTCATCATATTTGCTCTTTAAACTTAGGGTGCACTGAGAATTTGGAACAGGGGTGAACACCCCATTCCCAATTCCTCTTTGCAGAACTGAACTATTGCCTGGATAGCTCAGCTAGATAGCTATCGCCTAGATAGCTCAGTTGGTTAGACAGAGCACGGTGCCGATAACGCCAAGGTTGCAGGTTTGATCCCTGTATGGGACAACTGCATATTCCTGCATTGCAGGGGGTTGGACTAGATGATCCTCAGGGTCCCTTCCAACTCTACACTTCTATGTCTGGCCATAAGCTACTACAGTGGGAAATGACACACCAGCCTCACTGTGCAGGCAACGGTTTTAACATTCACAACAGCTGGGGAAGGAGGAGAACCTTGTGGGTTCCCAGCACCCATTCCAGCTTGTCAACACCTTTCTTAAAATGCCCAGGATTGGGCACAATATTCCAGGTGTGGTCTGACCAAAGCATAATAGAGTGGTACTATTACTTCCCTTGACCCCCTTCTTATATTTGTGCATCTGATTCTTCCTGCCTAAGTGCACAACCTTACAATTGTTTCTACTGAAATTCATTTTGTTATTTTGGGCTCAGCTCTCCAACTTTGCTTCCTGTTCACCCTAATTCCTTCTCTGTTTAGTTTTTAGAATCTTTCAATTCCTCACCATGACCTTATGGCCCTTGCAGCCACAAAAGGAGCCATCTTTATCGCTGCCAATTACAGTGCCTAACCTTTGCAAGACAGACCTGCCCGGGGTCTTCCTCTGTTCTTCATCACAAGCCTTCTCTTCAAATTCCATCCATCTCGTCTGATCATTGACGCCTTGGGCTGCAACAACATCCAGAGCAACTGGAGGGTAGACTTTATGCCATCCAGGCAATTCAGTTCTTCCCCCATCTTCCTTTTTATATGCCATTTCCTTCAAATCACTTCTTCCTGTGGTGGAGGTCATGCTCGGTCAAATGATTTGTGCCGGCTTCTTTCAACTGCTTCCCAAAATGTCAGTCCTGTGGTTTTGAGCTAGAAACTAGAGTTCTGACAATTTCATCTTTCCCCTCTCTGTGCTGGAATTAGATTCTAAACACTTAAGTTTGGGTGCTCTGTGATAACCAGCCTTCTGTCCCAGATAATCAGACACATCAGCTCTGGTCATAAATAACCTTGTGAAATCAGCTGTGCTAAAAGATGCTCAGGAAAGAAATATTAATTTGTAGTCTATAGTCTGTGATGTGAGAGGGAAACTGGCAATGCAATGATTGGATCATGGAGAAGCATTCAACAGAGAATATGGAAAGGGATGGGCAAATTGGCCAATCATTGTTTCTTTCTGGTTCTCTCCCCACACCCCACCAACCTTAAAATAAATTCAGCACATTTGCAATTTATTTTTAAAGCCCTTGATACATTTTTTCAGCCTTTTAGCGTGCGTTTCCTTTAATATAAACTATCTTTTCTCTAGCACACATATTAGGGGTGTCTGCTTGCAAAAATGCAACGCGTTTTCCTTTTTTAAAAATTCTAAAATATGCTGCACCCCATAGTCACCTTTGACTGGACTTAACTCTCCAAGAGTCCTTTACCTTTACCTTTTTACCTTACAATTCTAGACGGGTCTACCAAGAAGCAAGCCCCATTCATTTCAATGGGACTTACTTTCAAGTGTATATTGAGACTGCGGCCTGAAAGCCTGCACGCTCCCTCTCTGCTTGCCCTTGTGATGACCTTCAGAAATCAATTAACAGGGAAGGCGCCAAACCCAGTATTCATGATACCTCCATTGTGCTGATGATTAAAAATGTCTCCTTATCCCTGCAAAGCTGTGCTCTTCCAGGAACTGTTTCGCTCCACTCAGAGCATTAATTTTTATTTTATTTTTTTTGCACACATTCAGATGCACACAATGCAGCAATTCCAGGGGAGAAGATTGCAATGGATATTTTGATTTCACAGGAACAATAGCGTGTGCTGAGGTGTCTCGAAGGGATGGTGTTGCACGTGACCCTTGGTTTTTAAGGAGACAATTAAAACACCTGAGACACTGAGGAATGAAAAGCAGCTACTAGCTGTGTCTGTAGGCCAGTAGGCCCCCCCCCCAATAGATGTATTGCTATGAAAGAGCACTGCACATATTTTAAAAAGCAAATGCGTAGCAGTAATTATGCTTCTCTGAGTCGTCAGTCATGTGTGTACCATGGTTGTACCTGGAATCATGCAAATTACAAGTCAGACCACTGTAATTTGGGATGAGAATGGGCAACAGATTATTAAACAAAACTAAACATCTGCATTATGGTCAAGGTGCATTAACTAGTCTTACATTATATTTAAAAGCTGTGGCCACAATACCAGCAATTCTGCTGTGATCATTCATAATATCAAGTCATCATATATCTCAGCTGTTTTTGCCTAGATTATAGGCTTGAAGCTAGAGCTGTAATTAATATTTCCAAATATGTGGACATTCTCACGCATTCCAGTTTCAGCAATTGAATTTTGCGCGAAATATTTCAAGCTCATAATTTCTTTGGACTGTTATTTTTTTAAAAAAATCTTGAAATGTTTTAAGCTTGGCCTCTCTTGACTGGTTTTGATTTTGACCAGTTTTGTGCGTAACAAGTCCACTTTCAAATACCGACTTCAATTGTCCTGTGGAATTCACTGCCACAAGATTCAGTGGTGGCCATCCACGTGGATGCCCATGAAAGAGGATTAGGCAAATTCGTGGAAGATGAGGCTATTAATGGCTATTTTGCCATGTGGGCTCTGTTCTAACTCAGTGCTGGAGGCAATATACCTCTGTATACCAGTTGCTTTTGAATTCTGGTGCTGGAGGAAACTCTGGAGAGTCCCATGGACTGCAAGAAGATCAAACCTATCCATTCTGAAGGAAATCAGCCCTGAGTGCTCACTGGAAGGACAGATCCTGAAGCTGAGGCTCCAATACTTTGGCCACCTCATGAGAAGAGAAGACTCCCTGGAAAAGACCCTGATGTTGGGAAAGATGGAGGGCACAAGGTGAAGGGGACGACAGAGGACGAGATGGTTGGACAGTGTTCTTGAAGCTACCAGCATGAGTTTGACCCAACTGCAGGAGGCAGTGGAAGACAGGAGTGCCTGGCGTGCTCTGGTCCATGGGGTCACGAAGAGTCGGACACGACTAAACGACTAAACAACAACAAAATACCAGTTGCTGGAAATTGCAAGTAGGGAGAATGCTGTTCTACCTGTGAGCTTCTCAGAGGTATCTGGTTGGCCTCTGTGTGAACAGGATGCTGGACCAGATGGGTCCTAGATTTAATCTCACAGACCTCTTATGTTCTCATTGCATGCTAGCACTGAAATGCTATCAGACAGAAGATACGATTCCTGTGTTGCAGGTTTTGAGTCTCTTCCAGCTCAAAAATTCTATGATTTGGTGTCAGCTACAAAATACTGTCAAAATGTAATTTCACATTTCACATTTATTTATTTTTACAATTTGGAAGCTTGCACAAACAAAAATCTACAAAGACAAAAACGAAGACACAAGAAAACAACAATAGGAACACTACCCACATCAGAGAACAGAAGCAAAACCAAAAACAGAGGTTTCAGAAATGGGACATACTGAAATCATGAGGTTTCAAGTAATACAAATGTTGTTCGTTTTTCCTGTTTCTTTGTTTTGCCTTTGTAGATTTTTGTTTGTGTAAGCTTTTAAATTGGAAACCAAAGTTTTAAATAGAAAACAAAAACAAATGAAAATAAGGTGATCAACTGTTAGTAGTCATGGTGAGTGCTTTTTCTCCTGGGGGTGCCCAAGGGTACGTGGTACCAGCACCTTTTTTCCTAGAAGAAAAGCACTGGTCATGATGACTACATGCTGCCTATATTCTGACTCAAGGCACCAGGCCTCTGGATATCAGTCACTAGGGAACCACAGTGCAAGAGTGGTATTGTGCTCTTGTTGACTTCCCAGGAGTATCTGGGCGGCCACTGTGGAAAAAGGGTGCGGGACAAGGTAGGCCTTTGATCTGACCCAGAAGGGCTCTTTGTACAATCTTAAGACCTGAGATGTCGAGACTGTCAAATAGTGTATGCCATTGCATGTCAGTACTGTCAAATAGTGTATGCCATTGCATGTCAGTACTGACCAATAGTATATGCCATTGCACGTCAGAAATATCAAATATCAATCCTCTGCCATCAAAAAGTTAAACAATTGCCTGAATTCACATACTCCCTCTTCCCTTTCTCCCTAACTTTTAGAGGTCAGGGACTGTCTTGGTGTTTTTTAAAAAATGAATTGTAAGCCACTTTGGTAGCATTTGGAGCTGAAGAACATGTTTGTGTGAAAATGCTGCAAATAAACAATAATTCAATTGGATGTTAAATACATATTTGGAGTACTAGGTGTTGGAGAATATTTGACAACAACTTTTTCCAAAGGAGCACTTCAAGGACAAATCTGATGAGCAAAATCTAGCTGAAACCATTATGTAGCTGACTCCACACACCTTCCTGTTATAAAGTATGATCTCCCAGTTTTGTGTTTTTCTGTTTTACGTCCACTGGCATTTCCTGAGTGACACTGTTGGTGCTAAGCCCTCAGCTGGATCAAATCCTGAACGCTTTGCAAGATTGCCCATCAGCTCCTTTGCAAGCCAAGTCGTCCAGAACCTGAGCTGCTAAATAAAGTCTTCAGCTGCTTTACAAATCATTACTAATCAGTTGCTAGATCACTCTGATCTAGGTCTGGCAAGCAATGCTCAGTGCTTTTGCCAGCAACCTGAGCAGCAGGTACCTAGATCAGAAATTCAGTTGACAGAGTCAAGCAATAAAGCCTCTAATCTACCATCCAGCTTTTAAGTACTGAAAAATGAAGCATCTTGCAAAACATCTAGGTTTTGCTTTAATTCTAGCATGCCTGGGAATATGATCCAATTAAATGCAGCTATCAACACATACCTTTTGAACTATCTGTTTAATCATGAGGCAAACAGAAAAGCCTGTGGCAGAGCAGTTTTTCAGCTCACAGTGATATATCCTAAACATACACACAACAACAACAACAACAACAACAACAACAACAACAACAATTTATTACTTATACCCTGCCCATCTGGCTGGGCTTCCCCAGCCACATTAAAACATCAGTCATTAAAAACTTCCCTAAACAGGGCTGCCTTCAGATGTCTTCTGAACATCAGATAGTTGTTTATTTATTTGACATCTGATGGGAGGGCGTTCCACAGGGCAGGTGCCACTACCGAGAAGGCCCTCTGCCTGGTTCCCTGTAACTTTGCTTCCCGCAGCAAGGGAACCACCAGAAGGCCCTCGGTGGTGGACCTCAGGCGATGGGGGTGGATATGCTCCTTCAGGTATACCGGACCGAGGCTGTTTAGTTAAGTGGGGTTATGAGTAGCAGCCTTTGCCCAACTTGGAACAGACCTGTTGACCAGCTGCAGAGCATGTTCCCATGGTTCCCGAGCCAGGCACATGCACCCACACCAGGAACCGGAGCACTTGGGGAGGGCAGAATGAGAAGGTTGCATAGCTGTTGCAAAGCCCTGAGTGGCTTTCTGTGGAGTCTTTACATGGCGGGGTTTGTACCTATTTATCTACTTGCACTGATGTTCTTTTGAACTGCTAGGTTGGCAGAAGCTAGGACAGAGCTACGGGAGCTCACCCTGTCACTCGGATTCGAACCGCCGACCTTCCGATCAGCAAGCCCAAAAGCTCAGTGGTTTAATCCACAGCGCCACCCAAGTCGCTCTAGAATTGTACTGTTAGTATATCAGTGTAGTCTATCATTCTCCATCAGATGAGAAAAGAAATTGCATGCAATAATTATTAAGGGAAACAAACAATTCAGTGACATTCTCATGGGTGGGGCATGCATCTTTGTCCATGCTCTCCTTATTTTAAAGGTGACCCTGCGGAGTTTGCACGTCTCATATCATTCATTCTAGAAAGAATCTCTCCAGTGTTCTGTATTTTGCAGCCTTCCTGGGTGCCTTTGTTTTGGTGAAAACCCAATTATCTCCTTGGCTGGGCTTTCCTGTAAACACAGCAAGCTAGAGAGGTTGTCTACCAAGGGTCTGGCTGTTCACTGTTATTGTTTTAAGTGAAGTGATATCATGAGGTAATTCCTCCTATACAGATTTTTTTAAATTCAGGAAGTGCAGGCAGCTGGGGAGGCTGCAGAAATAAAAACATATAAATCCCCCTTGGCCACCTTACAGCAATAATGCAAGCTCAATCCTGTACCTATCAAAATAATAAAGGAATTCTAAAGTGCTCTGTATGTGAGGCAAGAAGTCCTCTCCCCTTTATCCTGCAGCTGATCATGTCTCTAAAATAGTTCAGAAAAGGGAGCCAGTGTGGTGTAGTGGTTAAAAGCGATAGACTCATAATCTGGGGAACCGGGTTCGCGCCTCCGCTCCTCCATATGCAGCTGCTGGGTGACCTTGGGCCAGTCACACTTCTTTGAAGTCTCTCAGCCCCACTCACCTCTCAGAGTGTTTGTTGTGGGGGAGGAAGGGAAAGAAGAATGTTAGCCGCTTTGAGACTCCTTCGGGTAGTGATAAAGCGGGATACCAAATCCAAACTCTTCTTCCAAAGGCTGTATAATCCAGAAAAGTAAGGTATCTGGGCTGATTTCCACATACATGTACATTATCACATATATGTACGTTATGAATGTACTTCCTTCATAACCAGGAATTCTAATAGAAATGAATGAAAGACAATGAGTCTGAGGTTAGTCAGCTGCAGTGGCTAGGACTGATAATGAGGAAATGAGATTCCATGGCAGGAACAGGAAAGCTGTAGAATTACTCTGTGGTGTCCAAAGAGATTAAAGTGAAAGGAAATCAGAATATAGACATCTTTGTTTTAGTAGCAGCTGTTTCACTTGGTGGTCCCAATTTGGTCTCCACTGCATTCCTAATTGACTTGTCTGAGTTAGCGTATTTTCTTGTTTAATCAAGTTCATTTGGATTTCATTTTATTGTCTAACCGGGGCCTCCCTTTCATAGAGCTTTCTGGAGTTTAGTACTTTGCAGAGCTGTTATCAGTTATAACTTGGAGCATATGGCAAACCAGATGTACTTACATGCCCTGGTAGATAGATGCAACTGTAGTGATTCCTACAACCAGTGCACTTCGGAGCTGAGACTTCTGGGAATTGCCAGAGTCAACATCTACTGATGTTTACAGGTGATTCTTGCCCCAAGTAATCCTGGATGAAATTTGGGCCATGGGGACAGAGTCCATTCATCTCCAGTGATTTTTAGAACATTAATTTGATTTGACGCTGGTCATTTGTTCTGCATTTTAGAACTTTATGATTTTATGATGTTTTTGACTGCTGGACAGTTAAGTCCAGTTAAAGGCGACTATGGGGTGTGGCACTCATCTCGCTTTTCAGGCTGAGGAAGCCAGCATTTGTCCAGAGGCAGCTTTTGGGTCATGTGGCCAGCATGACTAAACTGCTTCTGGCGCAACGGGAGACACCGTGACAAGTACCAGAGTGCACGGAAATGCCATTTACCTTTCCACCACAGCAGTACCTATTTATCTACTTGCACTGAGGTGCTTTTGAACTGCTAGGTTAGCAGGAGCTGGGACAGAGCAATGGGAACTCACCCCTTCACACAGATTCTAACTGGCCAAGAGGCTCAGTGGTTTAGGTCACAGTTCCATCTGTGATGTTTTAATACCTATATCAGTAGTCTGTCTGTCTTTCTATGGGAAATCCAGGTGTATGGCAGTCCATGTTGACAGTGCAGATTTTCCTGATTTCCCCCCTTAAAATAACAACAACTTTTTTTGGGGGGGGGAGGGAGCTCAGCAACTTTTCTTTCCAGACTCTCACTGTTTGAAATATGGAAACCTTAACCTACCCATCAATTTATATGAATGAGTTGGTGGCTTAGAAAGACTCAGTGCTTTTTTTTCTAGGGGTACGCATACCCCTAAACATTTTGTGAATCTAAGTTTGGCCTTGTTGTGGGGCAGTATTTCAATATGAGTAGGAAAATGAGAGTACCCCGGAACAATTTTTTAGGGGGGGAAAGTAGATTGAGTACGGACTAAAACAAAGGACAGTGGCCAACCCGCCCCTCTGGGGGCAGGAAGCTGTGAACTCCTCTTTGTCCTCTGGAATGTATGCTTCAGGGGGAAAAGAGGACAGGTGTCAGGACACTCAGGTTACCACTTCAACCCCTCCCTAAACCCCTCCTTTTTGTGATGTATCAATGATGTAGTCTTAGGGGTGTAGCATGGGGATTAGGAGCTAATAAAAGTTGGGGTCTTCTTTTGTTCAGGGCTTCCATCTTGTTTCGTCTTGCTGTGAGTGGGAGTCCTGTCGTGACAGTTTCAAAAAAGACCAAGCCTACTGGCTGCTATTTTGCTCCAATATTCCTGGTTGATGTCCTTGCTTTTTGTTCAAGGGAGCCCTCGGATTTCTCCGTTAACAGTTCGCAAACCTTGGGGGTCCCCATTGAGCATGCTCCTTCCTCCCCCCTCCTTCTGTTTCTCAATAGCTGCACTCTGACCACAGAACCATCAATCGAATCTCAGCTGTGAGGAGTTTGAGAACACTTTCCTAAAGTCCTGAAATCCAGCCCAGCCTTTTTGACTCTCCCTCAATTGATGGGACTGGAGTTTCCCAAGTGCGGGGGGCTGGGCAGGGGCTGGGCAGGGGGCAAGAATGCATCTCAGACTGCTGCGCACAGACTTTGGTGATTATTATTAATAATAAAAACACCCAACAGAAAAACAAACTGCCGAGACATACTGTTCTGGGGAAAAGTATGCCGTGGCCCAAAGCTATCAGACAACTGATAAATGGCATATGGACATGGCTTTATAACATAACGAAATGAAGAAAAAAATTCAATACATTTTCCCTTCAGTTTAGACTGACACCTTATTTATCAAGTAACAAATCTGAATAATTTGAGGTTGTGTGCCACCCGATATTGTATTTCTTTTCTTGTTGCTGTTGGTTTTTTTGTCTGCCTGCAGATTTCTGTGCATTTAATTTCAAGCACAACTAAGCGAAGACCCAAGCTGCAAGTAAGCAAACTCTTTAGCATAGGCATTTTTCAAGGCTGACACTTGCCCAGATGATGGCCGACATGGAGAGGAATGCATAATGTTTCTGTACGTTCCGCAGAGCTACTGAGCTTGGCAACAGGCTGAAAATAAGGCCAAGCGAAAATCATTATATGCAGCTATGGCAGGAGCATTAGCCTTTTGCACTTGCAAACCTAATTAACAATTACCAAAAGAGCCAGTGTGGTATATCTATGGCTGGATGTTGCTATTCATAGAATCATAGAATTGTAGAGTTGGGAGGAGCCACAAGGCTCATCCTGCAATATAAGAATCTTCCACCCAAGGTGGGGTTTGAACCCACAGCCTGAGATTAAGAGTCTCATGCTCTACCCACTGGGCTATCCAGCCTGGATGGTGCCCAACCTGGAGCATAGAGCTCTGTTCACCCTTCACGCCCCACCATGTAAAGACTCCACAGAAAGCCACTCAAGGCTTTGCAACAGCTAGGCAACCTTCTCATTCTGCCCTCCGCAAGTGCTCTGGCGCCTGGTGTTGGTGCATGCGCCTGGTTCGGGAACCATGGGAACACACTCTGCAGGTGGTCAACAGGTCTGCTCCAAGTTGGGCAAAGGCTACAACTCATAACCCCCCTTAACTAAACGGCCTCGGCCCAGTATACCTGAAGGAGCGTCTCCACCTCCAGTGTTCAGCCAGGACACTGAGGTCCAGCGCCAAGGGCCTTCTGGTGGTTCCCTCCCTGTGAGAAGCAAAGTTACAGGGAACCAGGCAGGGGGCTTGATTGAAAGATGGCGTTGTTAGTGGAAGCACTGACCTGAGTTCCGCAGCAGTTGTGCGGTTTTTATTAGTTTTTTTATTAGTTTTATCAGCTTTTATCAGCCTCAGTATTTTATCTACAACATTTGGCAGCTGTTCTTTAACTAATATATTCAAGGCTTGAGTTAAAAGCTCAAGTTAAAAGTCTTAGAAAAAGGAAGAGGGGGAGGAAAAACGTCGAGAAACAAGGAGCGGCTGAAACTGAAGGCAAGTTCTGCTTCATTTTATCCCCTGGCAGAATTACTTGCCTACCTTGAAAAGGAATGGTCTGTGTTGCATACCGGTAGTCTCCTTGTCGAACTAAATTGCTGGACTGTGAGGGTGAAGGTGAAGACGCCGACTTTCTTATGAACAGGCAGTGAAATATACCCCCACTGCAAGTGCTGGCAGGCTTGAAGGAAATATTTAGTTGACGTTAAAATACTATCCCCCCTCTACTCGATATCTGAATTATGGGATATGGGAAACGTCTTAGAGATTCGGAGGAGACAGTCCCCATTCCCTTTCCGAGATCAAAGCAAACAAGGGTGGAACCATGTCACTTTAAGGAAGGGAGTGATCTACTGGATTGTTCCTACACGGTAGAAACTCAGAACCGATTTAACCCTCTGACTGATTGCGTGTCAGCACTTAAAGACGAAGAGCGAATAATACCTCAAATAACAAGCAATGTGGGCAACAGTAAGAGTGTAGCCTCTCCTCAGAAGGAGGAACTGGTCCTTGGCACAGCCAATTATATGACATTTGAACAGTCCCATTTAATAATCAAAACTTTGCACTGTATATTCAAAAGACTAGATGATCTTTCGTCCCAGCTGCACAGCCTCCAACAAAAGCTAGTTACTACCTCTCCAGCGTCAGCCGGTGTTAAGTCTCTTGAAGAGAGGAAGGGGACGAGGAGTTTGTCCTTAAATAACAAACGTACTGACAAATTTAAATACAACCTTAACCTTCAATTAGGTCATCAATCCTTGATTTTAACACCAAGGAAAGTGTGCCTAACTATACAAAATGGGGACCCAAGATGGAGAACTCTGGGCGGTGCCAAGGAACTCCTAATGGTGCTTTTAAATATGGAGGCAACACAGATTGACCTCTGTGCAGTCCTCCCCTTGTCTATCATCATAAATCACAGAGAGTCCTGCTTGCGTTCCAATCCACAAAAATTCCCACTATCATATTACGAAGGAAAGCTTTTTGTTTCGCTGTGGTATAGCACCAACGAGAGCCTTTATAGACCCTACGCCTAAACCCCTACTGTTGGAGGCAATAACCAAAGAGGACTTAAAATCTGCTAAACCCGATCCACCAGTGGCCACCGGAGTGGGTGTTCTCCTCCAGGAGATGAGTCAAGTGGCCTCCACTCCCTTAACAAAGAACAACGACCATCCGGAAAGTGGCCTGACACCACCAGAAGAGATCGAACTCATTGCCTCCTTTGCAGATTTACCAGCGGTGGAACAAAAAGAAATTATTAATAGACTCGAATCGCTTAAAACCCAACTTATTAGGAAGCTCAGCACCAGAATACCTATGTACAGCGAGTATGACATCCTAGAAGAACCAGTTCATATGGATATCGCAATATCTAATGCTAAATGTATGTCGGTAATGGAGGATAAGATACAACCCCAAGAAGCAACTACCAGTCCTTCCCTCCAACCAGAACAACCCTCCGTGCTCTTAATAGATTTATATGACCGTCCCTTGACAAACATACCTGAAGAAAGCAGCACACAACAGGAAAAATCCCCTTCTACACATTCATCGATGCCAGACCTGGAACCTTCTTATAGCACTGACCAATCAAGAGATGAGGTGCCTTTGCCAACCTTCCCAAATAGCCCACTCGCCCAGCCTTATTCTTCTTTGCGGAGTATTATGGATTTAACAGCAAGACCTGTGACGGAACTGATTGAAGATCCAACTGGCCACATAAATCAAGTAGCCCAAAAGACCAGTAGCAGACTACAGGGAGACCAAATTTCTGACGAGATAGATGGACCACACCGGGTGGCCCACCAAACTCTTTTGGAAAAGGGGGCCGCCCCTGCTCAAGGTCCTACTCTTAGTAGATCGAGTGGCCAAGTTCAACAGTCTGACAACCTTGTTAATCCTCCCACTCAGCTTTTACGAGAGGTCTCTCATCAGAGGAAGATAACTGATTTTTTTATTGGCTCCCCTCTTCCCGTATTAAAGTTGAGCCAACCTTCCGAATGACAGTCAATTGGAGGAACGAGGAATCCCCAGCCTTCAATATTAAGTTGGAACATTGCTGGATGGAAAAGTAAAAATCAGATCCAGAATTCCAAAAATATATTAATTCCTTTTTATCATACTATTACAAGAAACTTGGGTGGAGGAGGAAATTGAGTTAAATGGCTTTGAGTTTATATGTCTGCCTGCTAGCCCGTCAATGAATGGTGGCCGCCCTAAAGGTGGCCTTACAATTGGTATCTCTCTTAAACTTCGGGCTAAACTTTCACTAGTGCATGCATTGCCGCCTTATGCTATTACTGGACTGATCTCTGGTGGAAACTTCTCTTTATTGGTTACAAATGTCTATTTCCCCCCGGGAGGGTTAGCAGCTGATCTTATTTCTAGATGGGAATCCCTAGAGGATTTTTTACTTTCTTGTTATCTTAAATATCCTAATGTCCCCTCCATTACCGGAGGCGATTTTAACGCTCGGATAGCCTCAAATCGGGAAGCTCTTATAAAGTCTAAATGGTGGGTCGACCCCGGCGCTCAAACCTACGATCTAGTATATATCCCCACTAGAATATCAAAGGATGTAAAAGTCAATAAGGCGGGAGTGATGCTTTACCAGATGGCTCTACGCCTTAATTTAATTATATTAAATGGCAGGTGTCCTCCAGATATACCAGGAGAGTTCACCCATCTGGGGTTAAAATCAAACAGTGTTCTTGACTATGTATTGGTTTCTCGGGATCTATTTTTGAATGTCACCTCTTTTAAAATTGATAATGCCCAATTTAGTGACCATCTTCCCCTGACAACCAAGTTATGTGTTGACTGGCACCTGCTCGTGCGCTCCCACCCAATCCCGGTGATTGTGGAGCCGTCCACTAAAATAAAGGGGATTAGATGGTCCCCTGCCCTCGCCCATAGATATATGGATTTTATCCGAGAAAAGTTTCTTGGTGATCAGCCGGACGTAGGAATAGTCCCGCGTGATCCTATTACCTGTTTGAATTTTTCTCTTGCCTGATAGAAGTTTTAACTCGCTTTTTACTTCTCCAAGCTATGGAGTTAAAAACGATTATTTTAAATTTGGCGCCCCTTGGTTCAACTCTGCTTGTAAACTAGCCAGACTCCATCTACATACAATATATAATGACTATAAACTTTCCGGCGCTCTGGCCTTACCTCCATCTTATTCCCTGGCTAAAAAGCATACAAACAGGCCCAGAAATCGGCCAAACGGGAATGGCATTTAAATCGCTGGCAGACTATAATTTCTACCGCAAAATCTCATAACTCCCGGAAATTTTGGTCCTTAATAAAGGGAAGAAACACGAAATACCCCTTAACGGTGATCCCGGCCCCTACATGGGAGCAGTTCCTGAGAAAATATTTCTCAGTGGCAGAAGCTCCGGCCACTCGCTGGAGACCTTCTAATCCCCTTCCCGTCTGGCACAATACCGACCCTGCTGAAATCCTAGAATTGATAGCTGAGCTGAAAACTGGTAAGGCCCCTGGGCCAGATTTGGTCCCTGTTGAGGCTATAAAGCTACATTCTGCATGGTGGGCAGGGATTTTAGCTAAAACGTTTGACGCAATAAATGCCACGGGCTTAATACCAGGTACGTGGAAGGAGGCCATTATAATTCCTATCTACAAAAAAGGTTCTCCTGGTGACCCAGGGAATTACCGGAATATCAGTCTGCTATCGTCCATTGGGAAAATATATGCCCGTTTTTTGCTGGCAAGGCTGATGAAGTGGTCAGCTGAGGCTGACCTGATTGGGCATGAGCAAGCTGGATTTAGATTAAACCGATCCACAACAGATCAGGCAATTATTCTTTATCACTTAGCCCGGAAATACTCGACACCTCGACGGGGCCAACTTTGCGCAGCCTTCATAGATTTGAAAGCTGCGTTTGATAGTATTCCGAGGCAATTACTATGGGATAAACTTGCCTGCTGGGGAATAGATAGAAGGCTCCTGTGGCTTATCTCCCAACTTCATGCCGGGTCCGTGGCCAGGGTAAGAATATCCCCTGCTGGAGACCTAACTAACCCAGTGCCAGTAAATAAGGGTGTACGCCAGGGTTGTATTTTAGCGCCTCTTCTTTTTAACTTATTTATCAGTGATATGAGGAACCCATTAATCGACTCACAAAAATTTATCCACACCCCCCGTATAGCAGATTATCGTTGTCCTTTACTTCTCTACGCAGATGATGCGGTACTACTCTCTTACTCCAGAGTGGGTTTAAGGAGGGCACTAAAGATTTTTGCATCATATTGCCATTCTAATCATCTGTCTATCAACCACACCAAGTCCAAAGTACTGATATTTTCAAGGAGTCGAAAATTATATTCATGGAAATTG